CTGAGCCAGAGCAGAGAGAGCCCACACCCTATCCTGACGAGAAGAGCTTTCAGTATGCAGACATCTACGAGCAGATGATGCTCACCGGGCTGGGCCCTGCTTGCCCGACTCGGGAGCCTCCGCTGGGGGCATCTGGAGATTGGCCCCCAAGCCTTTCAAGCAAGGAGGAAGCTGCTGGCCGTGATACATCTGCAGAGAAGGAGACTTCTTCTCCTGTCTCGCCCCAAAACCTTCAACCTGATACTTCAACTTTCAGCTATGCAGCCCTGGCAGGACCCACTGTACCTCCCAGGCAAGAACCAGAGCCAGGGCCCAACGTGGAGGCCAGTCTCACACCGCCGGCAGTGCCGCCCCGGGCTCCTATCTCCCTGAACAAAGACCCAAGCTCCCCTCTTAATGGAAGCACAGTGAGCTGTAGCCCAAACAGGAGGACCCCATCCCCAAAAGAATCGTGCCAAGGTCACTGGGATGACAGCACTAGTGACTCAGACTTGGAGAAGGGGGCTCGGGAACAGTCAGAGAAAGAGGCACAGTCCCCAAGTCCCCGGCACCCCATGCCTGTGGGCCACCCCTCAATGTGGCCCAAAACGGAGGCACATACCAGCCTTTCCTCAGACTCACATCTAGGACCTGCCCGACCAAGTCTGGACTTCCCTGCTTCGGCCTTCGGCTTCTCCTCCTTGCAGCCTGCTCCCCCTCAGCTGCCCTCTCCAGCTGAACCCCGGTCTGCACCCTGTGGCTCCCTTGCCTTCTCTGGGGACCGAGCACTGGCCCTGGTTCCAGGAACTCCAACCAGAACCCGACATGATGAGTACCTGGAAGTAACCAAGGCGCCCAGCCTGGATTCCTCACTACCCCAACTCCCCTCACCCAGCTCTCCTGAAGCCCCTCTCCTTTCCAATCTGCCGCGACCAGCCTCTCCAGCCCTGTCTGAAGGGTCCTCTTCTGAGGCTACCACACCTGTAATTTCAAGTGTGGCTGAACGCTTCCCTCCTGGCTTAGAGACTGCTGAACTGGGCCCAGGAACGGAGCCAGCTGCCCACAGCCTCTGGGACCTTGCCCCCCTGAGCTCAGCCCCCTTACCCTCACTGGGCTTGGCTCCAGCTCCAGCTCCAGCTCCAGCTCCAGCTCCAAGCCTGCCTGGAGACATGGATGATGGTACGCTGGAGTGCTCAGGGGAACTCACCAAGAAGCCAAGCCTCTCTGGAGTTCACGCAGCCAATGGCCTAGCAGAAACCAGCCCCAATCCCCCAGGGCTTGCCACAGCCAAGGGAGAAAAAGAAGATGCTGCAGAGGCCTGCCCTGCTTGGGAACGGGGGTCTTGGCCTGAGGGAGCTGAGCGGCGCTCCCGGCCGGACACACTGCTCTCATCTGAGCATCCTGGGAAGAGCCCCGGTGGCCCACACTGTAGTCTTTCTCCTGAAGTTGAGGCTGGACCTCAGGAATGTGCTACAGAGCCCCGCCCCCACTGCGGGGAGCTTTCTCCTTCATTCCTGAACCCACCTCTGCCCCCATCCACAGATGACAGTGACCTTTCAACTGAAGAAGCTCGGCTGGTAGGAAAAGGAGGGCGGCGCCGGGCAGCGAGGCCAGGGCCCACAGGGGGCCCATGCCCTATGACTGATGAGACACCCCCCACATCAGCCAGTGACTCAGGCTCCTCACAGTCAGATTCTGATGTCCCACCAGAAACTGAAGAGTGTCCATCCATCACAGCTGAGGCAGCCCTTGACTCAGATGAAGATGGGGACTTCCTGCCTGTGGACAAGGCAGGGGGAATTAGTGGAACTCATCACCCCAGGCCTGGTCATGACCCACCCCCGGCTCCCCAGCCAGACCCCCGCCCCTCCCCTCCCCGACCAGATGTCTGCATGGCTGACCCTGAGGGGCTCAGCTCAGAGTCTGGGAGAGTTGAGAGACTACGAGAAAAGGAGAAGGTGCAGGGGCGACTGGGGCGCAGGGCCCCCAGCCGAGCCAAGCCAGCGTCTCCTGCACGGCGTCTGGATATTCGGGGAAAGAGGTCACCTACTCCTGGTAAAGGGCCTACAGATCGAACATCTAAGGTCCTACCCCGCAGAACTCCAAGCCAGGTCACCCCAGCAGAAGAAAAGGATGGACACAGTCCCATGTCCAAAGGCTTAGTCAATGGACTCAAGGCAGGACCCAGTGAGTATGTCAGAAAAGTGGGGAGGGGAATACTGTGGGTTGGAGTAGGTATGGGCTAGCTAAAGGCTCCAGCTGTTCAAACAAGCGTGGAAGCAACCAAATAATCCTTTTGTTTCTCAAGACAAGGTTTCTCTGTGTAGTCCTTGCTGTCCTGGAGCTCACTTTGTAGATCAGGCAGGCCTCTGACACACAGAGATCCACCTGCCTCTGCCTCCCTAGTGGTATGCACACTACTGTCCCCCCTTTTTTCTTTACAATGCGTTCTGCTTGTCTCCACAGCAGCCTTGGGCTCCAAGGGTGGTTCAGGCCCCCCTGTGTATGTGGATCTTGCCTACATCCCAAATCACTGCAGTGGCAAGACTGCGGATCTGGACTTCTTCCGCCGAGTGCGCGCATCCTACTATGTGGTCAGTGGGAATGACCCGGCCAATGGCGAGCCAAGCCGGGCTGTGCTGGATGCTCTGCTGGAAGGCAAGGCCCAGTGGGGAGAGAACCTTCAGGTGAGTAGCAAGGGACGCACAAGGGAAGGATTCTGGTCGAAGCTCTGTCAGAGGCAACAGCAGAACAGCCCCTGTTCACAAGAGGGCACAGTCCTTCCCGCCAGCAGCAGGTTCATTTATGACTGCCAGGTGTTCCTTCCCCTTCATCTGTCCTTCCTTCACATGCTCACCTCAGGCATGTTTTCTTCCGCTTAGGTGACTCTGATCCCTACTCACGACACAGAGGTGACTCGGGAGTGGTACCAGCAGACGCATGAGCAACAGCAGCAACTGAACGTCCTGGTCCTGGCTAGCAGCAGCACCGTGGTGATGCAGGACGAGTCCTTTCCAGCCTGCAAGATTGAATTCTGAACAGACCTGCCCTCCCTTCCCCAAGGCTCCACCCCTACAGCGCATATAGAGAATGACTACTGCTGAGTCCTTTGGGGTTGAGGGAAATGGAGCTGGGCAGCAGGGCGAGGTCATGTGTGAGGACCTGGGCTAAGTGGGAGGTAGTGGCCTTCCCCTCATCTGCTCCTGGGGTCTCAAAACCAAAGGTAATGGGGGGATACAAAGCTACACAAGATCACCTGACGCCTGGAACCCTCTCCTAGCACTGCCAAATGTTGGTCTTAGATGAGGAGGAAGGGTTTCAGAGAGCACAGTCCTCCCCATGGAGGGAGATGAACATCCCCCTGCAACCTCGTTATTTATTTGGCATGCCAGAAAGAATTGCCAGTAACTTATATGATGTAGGGAAGGCCACGGTTGGTAAGGTGCCAGTAACTTATATGATGTAGGGAAGGCCACGGTTGGTAAGGTACCCGGAGCTGTACTCTTTCCTCCATCTCCCATGCCCTAGCCACCAGGGTATGGCTTCTAGCAGGGACCCGGGGGTAGATGGCTGCTATATTGTCTTATTGCTTCCCTCAGTATCTGAATGTCTCAATCCAAAACTTGAAGCTCTTTAGACCAAGAACTAGGGAGAGGAAAAAGGATCTCATCTCCCAGCCCCAGCTTCATACTATTTACGACATAGGGCTGTGCCCAGCCCAGGCCACCTGGGCAGCACAAAGGGCAAGGAGAGCCCCAACCCCAATCCTCCAGGCTCCCTGATCATTTAGTCTTCACTTATCCCATCCCAACAGTCCTGATCCCTTCTCATCCCCTGCTTGGCTTCTCTGCATGTGGTCATCTGCTATGGCCTGGTGTGTAATGGGTTAAAAATAAGCCATTGCCTGACACTCCTGACACCCCTACATCTGACATCTTAGCCATGTGTGACTCCCCCAACATTCCAAATCCTCTACCATCCTGCAGCTGAAATGGGAATATTGGCTGCCTCTCTAAACCCAAACTCTTGGACAGAGGTTCTGGGAGGTGGAGGCTGGTCTAGAGAATTTGGGGAAAACGGGAGGGGAGGGGAAAAGAAGAAAGAAAGCAGAGCTATAGCTTATCTCCTCCAGAGTGAAGCAGATAGGCTGAGCATTCTACTACAGGAAAGAACCTCACCACAGGCAAGCCAGGGAGCAGCCCTGCTGAACCCTGCTGGATTGAGAGACCCAGATGCAGGTGGTCCCTGAGGCTTGCTTTCTCTGTCAAGCCAATGGGAAATCAGGAGCCCATCCCATGTTCTTCCCAGCTCCCTTCTCCCCACTGCTGTGCTCTGCTCCTCCCCACACTTCCCGCTACAGTTCCCAGCTGCTGTAACAGAGCCACCTTCAAGTCTAACAATAAACCAAGTTCATTGCAGATGGTGTAGTGCTGCTTAGGCTTCTTGAGACTCCATCCGTGACTCAGTTGTCCTGGTTTCCACCTCTCTGCTTCAGTCAGCAGCAGCATTTATCTCGGAAGACTCTTGACTATTCAAATCCATGTCAGGACCCAGGGGAGCCAGAAATAGCATGGGTGAGAGGAGGAAGAGATGTGGGAACCAGCATCATGTCTGCGAAGATGCAGGGGGTGATGGATATGCCTGTGATCTTAACACTCAGGGCAGAAGTAGGAGAATCAGGAGTTTGAGAGCAGCCTGAGCTACATAGCTAGTTCTGGGCTAGGCAGAGCAACATAGTGAGTCAGCCCTTGTCTCAAAAAACAAACAAACAAACAAACGGAAAACCCCAAGGGGCTGGAGAGGTGGTTAAGAACACTGGCTGCTCTTCCAGAGGACTGAAGCAAATCCCCAACACCCAGGTGGCAGCTTACAATTCTCTATAACACCAGTTCCAGGACTCGAATACCCTTTTCTGGCCTCTGTGGGCACCAGGTATGCATGCAAGCAACCCCCCCCCCCAAAAAAAAACAAAAATAAAAATTAAGAAAACAAACAAACACACCAAACAATCTGAAAATGGCTTAAAAATGTGGGCATATACATTTGGTTTAGGGAATGGGATCTGCATTCTATGGAGTCAAAAACAATCACTGTATTTCCCCAGAAAACTCTGAGCCTTTTATGTCTACCCCCACCCCTCTCTATAGTCTTGGGTATGTCATGAGTGGTCAGGTTATAAATGTATATATGGAAAAGGGACATTCTAGTCCTCCCAGTGTCCTGAGCTTTCCCAATGTAAAGATGCCAATGGAGCAGAGACCAGACATCACCTCTTCATGTCAGTTCCCCTCCAAGGCACTGGAGGGGACATTAGGGCATGTTTCTCGGGAGCTGGTGAGAAGGCAGTGGCCTTTGCCACTTCATAGAGCTCAAATCTTGTTCCAGTCACACTTCTCAGCACTCTGCTCATTAAAAACATTTGGGGAGGAAGACTGACCCTATAGCGACTCAGATGCCAGACTTCTCTATTTTTAAGGCCAATCCCTGCTCTACTACAATAGTTTTTGATTGATTCAGTCACAGACACAACTGGCTTACCTACTGATTATCGAGTTAACAAAGGCGTCACCACCCGTGTTCTCATTACCTCATATTTATTGAGCACTCGTTATGTCCCGGCCCCTGACTCCAATGACTGCATTATCCACGCCCACTCCCACCCCTAAATCTTTGGGAAAAGCTTCATAATCATATATGGTCCTAAGACACATGATATAAGGACAAACGTCTTGGGGACCCTGGAGTGTTTGATCTTTGGCCAGTCTGTCCCTGGCAAACTACAGAAATATATATGTTTATATATATATATATTAAATCTTTGCTCATGTCTGTACATCATTGATCTCTGCTAACTGCTTAAAATAGAACTTATTCTCTCTACTATAGCATCTTCTAAACCCAACAGCCTCACAACAAAAGGAGGCCTAGCTTCATAGATTGATCCAAATCTCCCAGAGCATGGCAATCTAGTATCTACTTTTCTCTGGAGTCACTGTCCAGAGAAGCAGGACTAGGGCAGAGGGAGCACTTGGCAATTATACAGAAACACCCATGAGCCCATTCTAAGCCATGAGTGGCCATGACAGATGTTTGCGAGAAGGCAACTCTATTCAGCAGACATTTCGGGCAGCTGCCCTGGGCCTGCCTGTGACAGTGAAGACAAGAGCTTCCTTGAATGCACATATGGTCTGAGGGTACCTTAAGAAGTTGTGAATACTTCCTTCAACAAATAGAAAGCCTTTTGCCTTCTATTGTACATTTGCTGTCCCCTCAACAGTATCAACAGTTAAGTGGCATTTCCTTGAACAATCTACAATTTCCTACCCCACAGATAGTGAAGAGCTAATAGCTGCTCTGAACATAGATTAGCTCCCATTAGGCATAGGTTTTATGCCAGAAGACCTGCTTCCTCAGACATCCCTGATGTGAGCCCAGGCTTGCTCTGGCTGGTGTGTCAGCCAACAGAAAGGCTACTGGCTCAGATGGCTGGTGGAGGACGACACCAGTGGGAAAGCCACTAATTACACGTTGCTGGAGGAAGGGATGAGTGCTGGTCATGGGCCCGAGACTGACTTTCAGTGTTTACATCACTAAATGGACCCTGGCCTTGGGGGAGATCCTCCCTGGAGTCCTGATCAGTCTCCTCAGAGACCTCCTGAGCCTGCAGACCAGCCTCCTCAGTGAGCTCTTGGGATGGTCTGTCAGCCTCAGGAATGTCTTGAGACAACTTGATGATGGCAGGGACTTCCTGAGCCAGTATGCCAACCTCCACAGAGAATTCCTGGCATGGCGGGCCGATCTCTTCAGGGATCTCTTGGGTTGGCCTGCCAATATCCATAACTGTTTCCTGGACCATGCTACCAATGCTTACAGGGCCTCCATGGGCCATCCTGCCCAGCTCCACAGGGACCTCCTGGCACAGCTGGTTACACTCCTCAGGGTTGTCTTGACAAAGCTGGCTGACTTCCTCATAAGCCTTGTGAGACAGTTGGCTGGCCTGCCATGGCTGACATGTGCTGGTGGCAGTGTCATGGTTCTTTAGCAACAGCTGGCTGATGTCAGGGACTTCTTCAAGGATGTTAGAGCGTGTCTGGGTGGCATCTGGGACCTCCTGGCATACCTGGCTGACCTCAGCAACATCCTGGCCTCCTAGAGGGCTGGTTTCCACAGGTGACTCCTGAGGAGGCTGATTGGGCTCCACAAGCTCTTGGGGTCTTTCTACGGGGAATTCTTGTGTTCTGTCTCCAGGAGACTCCTGGAGCAGCCCAAGGCCTTGGCTTTCTTCAGTCATATGTGTATTTACAGAGGACTGATCACTGAAGCCAAAATGTGAGTTTCCATCCGCTGCAGTAGGAGAGGAAGGGCCAGCACTGGACACGGTGCTGGAAGGACCACTGCTGTCTATAAAGCAAAGTTAAGAGGTCAAGTCAAACGAGCTGGAAGAGGAGGCTCTGCTGACGCGAGCACATTAAATACTAGAACACATCTGCTTTGCTGCTCATGTTTTGGAGAAGGGGGTCTGAATTCTTCCTAAATGTGCAGACACGAGCTAGCTCTGCGCAGGAACTGCCACACAAACTTCATGGAGACTACAGGAATAACGCTAAGGCTCCTCTATGAGTCAGGAGAATAAGGCCTGCTTCCTCTGGCTTCTCACAAACACTCTCTGATCCCAACTCCATATGTCTATGGTTCCTCCTTCATACTTTGGATGTATGTGAACATTTTGTCCCAATGGTCCCCAATATCTGCTACACATCAGAAGTGTGGGGAATACGTAAATACTGATTATCAGGTTCCACCTCCTCAGTTTCTATTCTATAGGGTTAGTGTACAGATATGGGTAGGAAGAAGGGGAGAAGATGAGGACAATATTATTCTGTTGAAAGACTCCCAGTTGAGTGAACTATGGGTGTGGCTCAGTGGTAGTGCCCTGGGTTCAGTGTGCAACACTGCACAACTCAGGAATGGTGGTGCCCACCTATAATCTCAGCACCTGGTAGGTAGGAGGGTCAGAAGTTCAAGGTCATCCTCAGCTATACAAATCAAAGGGCAGCCTGGGCTACGTGAGAACAGCTATCAAAAAAAAAAAAAGGAATACATTCCTTGGCCTTTCAATTAAGATCAAAAGAAGAAGCATTCTTTAAAGCAACCAATGTATTTCTGGAACAAGAGCTATCCCAAGAAATAAATAAGTAAGCAAGAGAATGTAGAAAAACGTTTTTTTTTTTTTTTTTTGGTTTTTCGAGACAGGGTTTCTCTGTAGCTTTGGTGCCTATCCTGGAACTAGCTCTTGTAGACCAGGCTGGCCTCAAACTCACAGAGATCCGCCTGCCTCTGCCTCCCACGTGCTGGGATTAAAGGCGTGCGACACCACCTTAGAAAGAAAAACTTTCTAAAGCAGGAGAGAGAAGCTCACACCTGTGATTGTAGTTCAAGGTCAGCCTGGTCTACCTGGCAAGTTCTGGTAAAGCTAGAAAACAATAAAGGCAACCTATAAATGAGGATGCCAGGAAAGAGAGCAGCGAGAGCCTGCTGCTCCTGGGTCCTGCTCTCACTCGTCCCCTGATGGGAGGGAGGGCCTTCTCTGTCTTTGCTGTCTTTAGCCTGTCACTGTTCTTGGGGACAATATGAGCAGTGGACTCGAGGGAGACACCAGTGGGAGACAGGCCCCAGGGAGGAACAGACCCTTCCCCTATCACCCTGCCTGCAGGAGTGACCGAGCCCACACCAGCCCTTCATGGACAGAGTAGAGTGGAGCTTTGCATGTCGGCACTGCGGCCAACAGTTACGGGAACTGCTGCCTTCTGTTCTGGGACCGTATGTGAGGAAAAACTCTGATTTGTTGTTGTTGTTGCTGGCCTAAAGATGGAAGACTTGGAAGACGACAACAGAGTTCTCAAATGACAATTCTTGTCTTTTTTTTTTTCTTTCCTTTTTGGGTAGGGCCGTCAGAATCATTAAGGCTCTTGTAGAAATCATGGATTATCTTCCAGGAAAAAGGTATATATACCACTGTTCACGCTGATCTTTCCGTATGATCCAATGCATTCACAGAAACCACCCATGGACCCAAGGTTAAGACCCTCTAGGTCTTGTTCCCCAGCTTCTCTGGGATCGTGGACTATAGGCTGCTTATTCTTTGCTTTATGTCTAATATCCACTTATGAATGAGTTCACACCATGTTTGTCTTTCTGGGTCTGGGTTACCTCACTCAGGATGTTTTTTTTTAGATCCATCCAAGATCCATCCATTTGAATGAAAATTTCATGATGTCATTGTTTTGTACCACTGAGTAGCTCTCCTTTGGGCAAATGTATCACATTTTCCTATTCATTCTTCAGTTGAGGGGCACCTAGGTTGTTTCCAGGTTCTGGCTGTTATAAACAATGCTGCTATGAACACAGTAGAGCATAAATATTTGTGGTATGAGTGTGCATTCTTTGGGTATATGCCCAAGAGTGGTACTGCTGGGTCTTGAGGTAAATTGATTCCCAATTTTTTGAGAAACCACCACACTGGGTGCATTCTCTTTGGAGGGATACCTTGTCCAGCCTAGATATAGGGGGAGGGCCTTGGTCTTGCCTCAAAGTGAAGAGGAGACTCTGCTGACTCCCCATGGGAAGCCTTACCCTTGCTGAGGAGTTGATGAAAGGTGGGGGTAGGGTAGGGTGACAGGAGCAGAGGGAGTGGGAATGGGGATAGCTATGTAAAATGAGAAAAGATTTTATTAAAAAATTCTTCATTAGCCGGGCGGTGGTGGCGCATGCCTTTAATCCCAGCACTCGGGAGGCAGAAGCAGGCGGATCTCTGTGAGTTCGAGGCCAGCCTGGTCTACAAGAGCTAGTTCCAGGACAGGAACCAAAAAAAGCTATGGAGAAACCCTGTCTCGAAAAATCAAAAAAAAAAAAAAATTCTTCATTAAAAAAAGGAAAAAAATAAAACCCAAAAATAAATTAAAAATAAAAAAAATAAATTAAAAAAAAAAAAACCTTCTAGGTCAGGTGTGGTAATCCTAGCGCAAGGGAGGCAGCGGCAGGCTGAGATCTGAGTTCAAGGCCAGCCTGGTTTACAGTTCCAGAACAGGCAGAACTATTACACAGAGAAACCCTATCTTGAAAACCCAAAAAACGAACAAACAAAGACTGTCTAGGTCTTCAGACATACAATGCTGTAAGATTTCATCTTTTACACAAAGAAAACATCAAAGCTCATTTCCTCAGTCCTCTTGAGAACCCCAAATGAAGTGGATGCACATGCACTGATAAAGACAGGGAAGGTCCTGCCAGACGCGGAGATGCATGCCTGTCCCTCTACCTCCTGGGAGCTGAGGCAGGAAGACAGCTGCAAGACCAAGGCCAGCCTGGCCAACATGCTGAGTTCCAGGCCAGACAGAGGTATATAGTAAGATCCTGTCTTTAAAAATAATAATAATAAAATAACAGACTGGAAAGATGGCTCAGTGGTTATTCTTCCAGAAGACCTAAGTTCAATTCCTAGCACCCATGTGTTTGCTCACAACTGTTCGTAACTCCATTTCCTGGGGATTCAATGCCCTCTGCTGACCTCCCCAGGCATACATGTAAGCAAAATACTCATACACATTTTTTTTTTTAATCTAGAAAAGCTAGGAAGTGTTGGTGCATGCCTCTAATCCCAGCACTCTGGAGACAGAGGCAGGCAGACCTCTGAGTTTGAGGCCAGCCTAGTCTACAGAGTGTTTCAAAACAAAATCTAGAAAAATGAGAACTAGTAAAAATAATGAGAACCTTAAAGTCTTCAATTCATTTACAGGAAGGTGTGACCTCAAGCAAGAAAAGTTTCTCTTTTGTAAGTGTCATATTTATCAATGGAATTTCAACTATATACTAAATCACATAGTATCAACAATGACTGAGTCTGGAAACTGGGGGAATGGGGGAGGGTAGACAGGAGGAAGGACATGGTTTGGGCCCAACAAGGTGTTTTTTTTTTTTTTTTTTGGTTTTTCGAGACAGGGTTTCTCTGTGGTTTTGGAGCCTGTCCTGGAACTAGCTCTTGTAGACCAGGCTGGTCTCAAACTCACAGAGATCCGCCTGCCTCTGCCTCCCGAGTGCTGGGATTAAAGGTGTGTGCCCGGCTCCAACAAGGTTTTAAAGATACCTCAGGGATAATGTTTACCAGTGAAGGTCTGCTACTAGATGGAGACAAGACAGCTAAATACATTGTACCAAAGAGAATTGGTAAAGTTGACAAGGCTGACCCGGAACAGGCTCAGCCACTGAGTTTAAGTACCTCCTCCTATTCCATATAAGCTATAAAGAAACAGAAAAGACATGCTTAGAATGGGAGAATGGGGGAGGGTGGACAGGAGGAAGGACATGGTTTGGGCCCAACAAGGTTTTAAAGACACCTCAGGGACAATGTTTACCAGTGAAGGTCTGCTACTAGATGGAGACAAGAAGGAAAAGAAGAGAAGCAAGCCGCGCTTTCCTCAGTTACAGAGGAAGCCTTAATGTCCAGCCTGTGGTCTGACCACTAGTAGACAGAGAAGAGGCTCAGTGAGGGTAAAGTGATTTAAATCTGAGGACATACTCTTGGCATCAGGGCACAAAGGTTTTTCCTCACACAAGATGCCAGAACAGAAGGCAGCAGTTCCGTAACTGTTGGCCGCAGTGCCGACATGCAAAGCTCCACTCCACTCTGTCCATGAAGGGCTGGTGTGGGCTCGGTCACTCCTGCAGGCAGGGTGATAGGGAAAGGGTCTGTTCCTCCCTGGGGCCTGTCTCCCTCTGGTGTCTCCCTCTGGTGTCTCCCTCTGGTGTCTCCCACTGGTGTCTACCTCTGGTGTCTCCCACTGGTGTCTCCCTCTGATGTCTCCCTCTGGTGTCTCCCTCTGGTGTCTCCCTCTGGTGTCTCCCTCTGATGTCTCCCTCTGGTGTCTCCCACTGGTGTCTCCCTCTGGTGTCTCCCACTGGTGTCTCCCTCTGGTGTCTCCCTCTGGTGTCTCCCTCTGGTGTCTCCCTCTGGTGTCTCCCACTGGTGTCTCCCTCTGGTGTCTCCCTCTGGTGTCTCCCTCTGGTGTCTCCCTCTGGTGTCTCCCTCTGGTGTCTCCCACTGGTGTCTCCCTCTGGTGTCTCCCTCTGGTGTCTCCCTCTGGTATCTCCCTCTGGTGTCTCCCTCGAGTCCACTGCTCATATTGTCCCCAAGAACAAACAGTGACAGGCTAAAGACAGCAAAGACAGAGGAGAAGACCCTCCCTCCCAACAGGGGACGTGTGAGAGCAGGACCCAGGAGGGTCACTGGAGCAGCAGGCTCTTGTTGGTTTCTTCTGCTTGTTTTTTGGTTTTGTGCTTTGGGACAATCTTGCTCCATGTAGTCCTTTTCTGGCCTCAGATCTTCAGTCTCTGCCTCCATGTACTGGGCTTAGAGCATGTGCCAAGTCTACGTGAGACTCGTGTTTCTGGCTTTTAGCTTTTCTATCTATTTCTATCTATTTAAGTTGTCTCCTAGTCAGTATCAGTAAGGAATGCTGTGAGGAGACCAGAGTAGTCAGGTGGAGAGTCTCTACCCTTTAGTGTAAAAGGTCCTTTGGCTCACTGTTCAGTGGGGCTGGAGGACAGAGGTGAACAGGGAAATAGCACAGGCAACTGCTTCCCAGAATGGTCTTTCCTATATTTGTATTGTTTTGTTTTTTAGAGACAGCATTTCACTGTGTAGCTTTGGCTATCCTGGAACTCGATCTGTAGACCAGGCTAACCTTGAACTCACAGAGATCCACCTGCCTCTGACTCCCAAGTGCTGGGATTAATGGCAATTGCTACTACTGCCCAGCTAGTTTTTTTTTTTTCTTGCTATGCAGCCCAGGCTGGTCTTGAGCTTAATATATAGCTCAAGCTGGCCTAAAACTCATAATCCTACCTCTGCCTCCTCAGTGAACCACAGTAACAAGTCCCAGCCATTCATGGTCTCTTTTTTAAAGATCTAGTTTTGGTATTTTTAAGTGTGTGTGTGTGTGTGTGTGTGTGTGTGTGTGTGTGTACGCGCACGTGAATGTACAGGTGTCTGCAAAAGCCAGAGGTGTCAGGTTCCCTCGGGGCTGAAGTTACAGGCAGTTGTGAGTCACCTGATGGGAGTGCTGGGTCCTTTGGAAGCATCACATGCTCCTGACTGCTACAACCACTGAGACACCTCTTCACCCCATTCCTAGGCTTCCAACCCTCACCTTCCTAACTCTAATGGGATAGGTCTCTTATCTACCCATCCCTCCATCCCTCTGGGTTTTAAATTAGGCAACTAGAAAGGTTTACTTACACCAAGGTGGCTTTTCAGAGCGATGCCGGAGTTGCAGTGGTGGCGAGTGAAGAGTCCGGGGTGGGGAAAACGGGCTATCTGAGGCCGGGTTGTGCAAAGAGTCAAAGAGGGCTGTATAGGTGGAGGGGAGAGACGCATGAAGAAAGGCACAGGGCAAAGCATCCAGGCATCAAGGGCTCTCACCTGGGTCGGGGTCACTTCACCTCCCTCTGGCTGAGAAGAGACATACCCTAGAAATCTTGACCCAAACCAGTGTCATTTTTAAACTTTACATTATGATTCTTTCAAATGTACAACTATTCATTTGTTTGTATACAGAATAATGGGCTTAATTGTGACATTTTCATGTGCATTATCAAACTTTGCTCACATTTATCCGCACCCCATTACTTCTATCCTGTTCCTCAACCTCAACCTTCTACTTTCCAACAAAAAAAAAAAAAAAAACAAAACACCCCTCTGCATTCATGTCACAACCACATACACAGTTTTCTATTCTACATGAAAGAAAATATGAGCCGGGCGGTGGTGGCGCACGCCTTTAATCCCAGCACTCGGGAGGCAGAGGCAGGCGGATCTCTGTGAGTTCGAGGCCAGCCTGGTCTACAAGAGCTAGTTCCAGGACAGACTCCAAAAAAAACCACAGAGAAACCCTGTCTCGAAAAACCAAAAAAAAAAAAAAAAAAAAAAGAAAAAGAAAAAAGAAAAAAAGAAAGAAAATATGGTATCAAATGTATTTTCTACAAAGCAGATGATAACTCCGAGGGTTCAGGTGCCTGCTGCCAGGCCTGATGACCTGGGTTGGATCCCCAGGAACCACATGGTGAAGGGAAAGAACTGACTCCTGCAAGCTGTCCTCTGCCTTCTGCATGCATGTGCCTCATGCCCCAAATAGATAAATATAACTTGATTCTTTCTTGCTGCTTCCAAAATGTTCTGTCTTCTGCTAGGTGTGGTGGCACATGTCATTTTTTTTTTTTTATATAACATTCCTTCCATGTATGCTTGCAGGCCAGAAGAGGGCACCAGATCTCATTACAGATGGTTGTGAGCCACCATGTAGTTGCTGGGAATTGAACTCAGGACCTCTGGAAGAGCAGCCAGTGCTCTTAACCTCTGAGCCATCGCTCCAGCCCCATGACACATGTCTTTATAGGAGACAGAGACAGGAGGATTTCTGTGAATTCCAGGAGAGCTAGGACCACAGAGTGCCTATCTTAAAACAAACATTTTCTGTGTCTCTGTCTTCTGACAGTCTGAATATTATTGCCTCAGTGTGGGTCACTTTGCACATAACCTGTAGGAACTGGCTGGACTATTTGAAAATAAAAATACAAGTCTTTTATTAAATTTGAAAAGGTTTTGTTTATTACTTTTCTAAGTATGTTTTATTCCCTTCTTTGTCTTTTCCTTTGAGACTAAGATCTGCTTTCTGTGTCTCTTTGGAATCAGAAACAATGGTCCCACATGGACAGCACGCATGGGCTGTCTTCTTTAACATTACCGCCAGGGGCTGAAGAGATGGCCTGGCAACTAAGAGCTCTCGCTGCTCTCCCAGATGACCCAAGGTCTATTCTTAGTACCGACATCAGGTGGCTCACAACCAGCTGCAGCGCCAACTTCAGGGGATCTGACACGTAGAACACCCCAACCCACACATAACTAAAACAACAAGAAACAAACTACAACCAAACTACGGGGTGGAGGGTGAGCAAAAACAACGAAAGAGCTGTAGCCCTTTTCATCCATTCTAGGTTATCATTTAATTTTTTAATTAACAATTAGTTCTGTGTGTGCTGTTAGGAACCCACATGTTAAACGTGTGCTTTATAATTTAGCTATAGCCCAGTCTCCAGGTTACCTCTAACTTAATGCAGCCCTTCCCTGTTGCCCATGAGCCTTTGACTATTTTATGGAGTACTGAAAAAAATTATTCCAACAGTTTTTGCTGTGCATGTGTGTGTGTGGGCGTGTGGGCGTGTGTGTGTGTGTGTGTGTGTGTGTGTGTAGATAAACCTACAGATGTTTCTGAGGAACAACCTTTAATTTTTGCACTTAGAAAATTAAAAGAAAGAAAAAAAGAAAGAAAGAAAGAAAGAAAGATGAAAGAAAGAAAATAAGCTTGGGGTGGTGGTGCACAACTTTAATCTCAGCACTCGGGAGGCAGAGGCAGGCAGATCTCTGTGAGTTTGAAGCCAGCCTGGTCTACAGAGCGAGTTCCAGAACAGCCAGGGCTGTTACACAGAGAAACCCTGTCTTGAAAAACTAACTAACTAAATAAATAAATAATTTTTTTTGTGGGGGGAGCTTAAGTATTTCATCCATATGGAGTTTATCCTGGCAGATGTGAAGTCTGGAATTGATTCTAATTTCTGTCACTTTGACCTATTTTATTTTTTTTAAATATTTATTTATTTATTTATTTATTATATATACAATATTCTGTCTTGTGTATGTCTGCAGGCCAGAAGAGGGCACCAGACCTCATTACAGATGGTTGTGAGCCATCATGTGGTTGCCGGGAATTGAACTCAGGACCTTTGGAAGAGCAGGCAATGCTCTTAACCACTGAGCCATCTCTCCAGCCCTGACCTATTTTATTTATTAAAAGATATTATCTTTTACTCAGTATTTTGAAATGTCAATTTCATTAATTTATAGATTTTCAGTTTTGTTTCTTTTTTTCAAAGGCTTAATTATTTATTACACATACAATGTTCTGCCTGCATGTATTCCTCCAGGCCATAAGAGGCCACCAGATCCCATTATAGATGGTTATGAGACACCATGTTGTTGCTGGGAATTGAACTCAGGACCTTTGGAAGGGCAGCCAGTGCTCTTCTGAGCCATCTCTCCGGCCCCTCAATTTTGTTTCTTTAGCCTACTAATTCATGTACCAATACTACATTCTTTTTGTTTGTTCATCTGTGGTAGTGTTTCACTCATTCTGTGGTCCCGTGTGGCCCTGAACTGTGTAGTCCAAGCTGGCTCTGAACTTGTAGTAATCCTCCTGTTTCAATTGCCCAAGAACTAAGATTACAAGAGTGTATCATTGTGCTGGCTAGTTTTATGTCAACTTGACATAGGCTAAAGTCATCTGAGACATGGGAACTCCAGTTGAGAAAAATGCCTCCATAAGACTGGGTTGCAGGCAAGCCTGTAGGGCATTTTCTTAATTAGTGATTGGGGGAGTGACCAGTCCATTGTGGGTGGAGCCTCCCCTGGCCTCATGGTACTGGGTTCTATAAAAAAGAAGGCTGAACAAATGAGGAACGAACCAGTAAGCAGCACCTCTCCATGGCCTGTGCATCAGCTCCTGCCTCCAGTTTCATTTTGAGTTCCTGCCCTGACTTCAAGCCAAAATAGACCCTTTCCCCCCAGTTTACCTGGTCGTGGTGCTTCATCCCAGCAATGGTAACCCTAACTAGGGCAATCACCATGCTAAGTTTTATGCAGCCCTAGAGATCAAACCTAGGACTTCATGCCTGCCAGGAAAGCACTGTACTAAGGGACTACATCTCTAGTCTCTGGCTTTGTTTTGCTTTTCCTTTACAACTTAGTTTCTTCCTAATTTTTCAATAAAAACTATAGAATTGATTTATAATTTTATTGGATCATATTAAACTTATAAATCACCTTGGGAAGAAGTGATATTCTTTTTTTTTCCTCAGGATTTTGTATGTGTGTGTACACAGTAAGTATAAACGTATATTTGTGTATGTGCACTCGTGTGGAGGTCAGAGGCTGATATCAAATTAAATTTTTAAATTTATTGTATGTGTACTGGCATTTTGCCCACATGTATTCTGTGCACCAGGCACATGCCTAGTGTCCAAAGAGACTTTTAAAGGACTTCAGACCCCCGGAACTGGAGTTACAGATGGTTGTGAGTGGCCATGTGGGTGCTGGTCACTCAAACCCAGGTCCTCTGAAAGAGCAGCCAGCATTTTTAGCTGCTGAGGTATTAGTGTGTGTGTGTACATGTATGCATACACAATCCAGAGCATGTGGGTGAAGGTCAGGAACAACGTAGGGGAGCTGGTTCTCTCATACCAAGTAGGTCCCGAGATCAAACTCACATCATCAGGCCTGACAGCAAGAACCTGCTAAGCCATCTTGCCAGCCCCAGCTGTATGTTGCTAAAAGTCATTTCTATGTCTTTGTGGTTACCCAACCATGGTTTTTCTTTTTCTCACAAAGTATTCTTTTATTTACTTTCCTACACTTAAGTTTCATGGAAGAATAACAGCTAAGCAGTTCTGCCTCTTCAGAAAAACATCTCCCATCAACATCAATCTGCGGCTGACACAAACTAGGGAGAGTGACATCTTAGGGCCGAGACCCAGGCTGTGGTCCATCTCTGGCCAGCCCCAGCCTGCTATCATGGAGCCTTGACACCCGGGTGGGCTCAGGCTTTCTCCCTGACGCTAGCAAATAAAGGAAATCGGTTGCTGAGTTTGTTTTTTGTTTCCATTGTTTTGTTTTTTGGTTTGTTGCTTTTTTTAAGCATTTAAAATGAAGCCCAAATGAGTTTAAAAATCATCCTCTTGACCTGTTCTCCATTAAAAAGTTATATGAAACACATTCTTCCTCTGCAGTGGCTGCAACTCTCCCCTCATACAGCTCACCATGTAGCTGCAGGAGCTCTTCTGCCTCCAGATGTAAACAAAGGGGAAAACTTGGTGCCATCTGCATACTGTTCTCTCTACAAACGCTGCTGGATGCCGTCTGCATACTGTTCTCTCTAGAAATGCTGCTGGATGGCAGACACACACTTTAAAAAGGAAGGGGGGAAAGAAGGATGATTCAACTCCAACACTAAGCTTTATAAGCAGATTTTTTGTTTTCAGTGAAGAGCTGGGAAATGATGAATTTGGCTTTTATATTTCAAGAAGTATCAAGCGGGGGTGGGCGAGAAGGTTCAGTGGGTAGATACACTTGCTGCCAAACCTGACAATCAGGGTTTGATCTCTATGAGATCAAATGAAAGAACCAACTCCTGCAGGTTATCCTTTGACCTTGACATGCCTGCCATGGCACACACAGACCTTCCCCTAACTCATAAGATAAAAATAAAAAGAGTTACCAGATGGTAAGTGCTCTCAAAGCTCTCTCTCTCCAGGATCACAGGGTCTTTCTTAAAATGCAGACTGTTTTCAATGGCAAACTTATAGACTCAAACAGAACCTCATGGCAGCCATGAGCCCACCTGGATCTTGAGCTTCAGTACACTGCAAGTTAACTGCCTTATTAAGAAGAAAGGCCTCATGAGTGGCTCTGGGGCTGTTTGGTTGTTTTTGTTGATATGACAGAGCTGGGCCATTTGGGAAGAGGGACCCTCAACTGAGAAAATGTTTCCATTAGATTGGCCTGAAGGAAGACTGTGGGGCATTTTCTTTTCTTTTTCTTTTTTTTGGTTTTTCGAGACAGGGTTTCTCTGTGGCTTTGGAGCCTGTCCTGGAACTAGCTCTTGTAGACCAGGCTGGTCTCAAACTCACAGAGATCCGCCTGCCTCTACCTCCCAAGTGCTGGGATTAAAGGTGTGCGCCACCATCGCCCAGCTATGGGGCATTTTCTTGATTAATGATTGATGTGGGAGGGCCCAGCTCACATGGGCAGTATCACCTCCAGGCAGGTAGCCCTAGGAGGGATAAGAAGGATATCTAAGGGAAGGAAAGAGACTCAGTGTTAAAACACACTTGGTGCTCTTGCAGAGGACTTGGGTTCTGTTCTCCGCATCCATACTCACAACCATCTGTGACTCCAGTTCCAAAGGTTTGACATGCAGGCAAATAATCATAATATAAATAAATCTAAATAAATAAATGTGAACCCAGAGAACAAACCAATAATCCATGGTCTCTGCTTCCGTTCCTGCCTCCGGGTTCCAGCCTTGAGGTCCCACCCTGACCCCTTTCATGATGTAACATGAAATAAACCCTTTCTCCACCAGTTCCTGTAGCCATGGTGTTTATGGAAACAGAAAGCAATCGATGGCAAGATAATGCCACAGCTTACACAAGAAAACAGACGATGAAATTTCTGCCCATTTTGCTAGCTGAAGTTTTTTTTTTTTTTAATATTTATTTATTTAGTATACAATATTCTGCCTGCATATATGCCTGCAGGCCAGAAGAGGGCACCAGATCTCATTACAGATGGTTGTGAGCCACCATGTGGTTGCTGGGAATTGAACTCAGGACCTTTGGAAGAGCAGACAATGCTCTTAACCGCTGAGCCATCTCGCCAGCCCTGAAGTTTTTTTTTAAGATTTTATTTAATTTTATTTTATGTGCATTGGTGTTTTGTCTGCATTCATGTTTGTGTCAGAATGTTGGATTCCCTGGAACTGTAGTTACAGGCATTTATGAGCTGCCATGTAGATCCTGGGAATTGAACCCAAGTCCTCTATAAGAGGAGCCAGTGCTCTTAAACCCTCCTCCCCTCAAGCCATCTCTCCAGCCCCAATAGCTGAAGTTCTAAAAGCCAAGTGGCTATGCAACCCCTACGGCTGAGAGCCCTGTGTTCTTCAACTTGAGTCAATGTCCCTTGGCTTCCTAACAATCCATGTGTGTGAGTGTGAATGTGTATACATACATGTCTTTATGTAGGTGTGAATGCATGTGTATGTGTGCGCGCGTACTGAAGTCAGAAGACAACCTTGAGTGTCCTTCTGTAGGCACCATCAGCACCTCCGCTGTTTTTCTTTGAGACAGTTTCCTTCACTGGCTTGGAACCAGCTAAGTAGGCTGGTTGGCTGGCTCAGAGCCTCTAGGATACGTGTGTATCTGCCTACCTTATGCTGGGTCTGTAAGTATGACACCAGCACCCAGCATATTCTTAAGATTTATTATTATTTTTTTTTTTGCAGGCAGTGGTTGTGCACACTTTTAATCCCAGTACTTGGGAGGCAGAAGCAGGCAGATCTCTGTGAGTTTGAGGCCAGCCTGGTCTACAGAATGAGTTCCAAGACAGGTTCCAAAGCTACAAAGAAACTCTGTCTCAAAAAACCAAAACAAACAAAAGAGATTTATTATTATTTTTTTCATTAAAAATATGTCACCAGGGGACTGGAGAGATGGCTCAGTGGTTAAGAGCATTGCCTGCTCTTCCAAAGGTCCTGAGCTCAATTCCCAGCAACCACAACCATGGCTCACAACCATCTGTAAAGAGGTCTGGCGCCCTCTTCTGGCCTTTAGGCATACAGACAGAATATTGTATACATAATAAATAAATAAATATTAAAAAAATATGTCACCAGGAAGTAGTGGCACACACCTTTAATCTCAGCACACGGGGGGCAAAGGCAGAGGATCTCTGAGTTTGAGGCAAGCCTGGTCTACAGAATGAGTTTCAGGACAGACAGATCTACTCAGAGAAATGTGTACCTGCTTATCTCTAAGTCCACCACGTGCATGAGATAGCTTGGGGAGGCCACAGGGGAGCCCATGGCGCTGGATTAAAGGAAGCTGTGAGATGTCTGATGTAGGTGCTGGGAACCTGGGTCTCATGCAAGAGCAGCAACTGTCTTAACCACTAAGCCATTTCTCCAGGCCCTCATTTTATTTTTAAATTGTCTCTGTGTGTGTGTGTGTGTGTGTGTGTGTGTGTGTGTGTGTGTGACTGCGGACTGGTCATATGCAGGAGTGCTGGTGCTCACAGAGGAAAAAGAGGGTGTTAGATTCCAAGCAGCTGGAGTTACAGGTAGTTGTGAGTCATTACACATGGATGTTGGCATTGACTTTGCTCCTCCGTAAAAGCAGTTGATTTTTTTTTAATTATTTATTATATATACAGTATTCTGCCTGTATGTCTGCCTACATGCCAGAAGAGGGCACCAGATCTCACCATGGTTGGTGTGAGCCACCATATCATTACTGGGAATTGAATTTAGGACCTCCGGAAGAGCAGCCGCTACTCTTAACTGCTGAGCCATCTCTCCAGCCTAGCAGTTGGCTTTTTGAGACAGGGTTTTTCTGTGTAGCTCTAGCTGTCCTGAAACTTGCTCTGTAGATCAGGCTGGCCTCGAACTCAGAGATCTGCCTGCCTCTGCCTCCTGTGTGCTGGGATTAAAGGAGTGCACCACCAGGTTGGCTCAGTGTTTTAAAATATGGGTTGTTCTGGGGATCAAACACAGGACCTTATACTTACTACACAAGTACTTTACTCATTGGCATGTCTTTCCAACTCTTTCTCATTTCTGGTGCTGAGGCAAGATCACGGGGCTTCGGGTTTGCTAGGCAAGTGCTCTATCACTGGTTTAAATCCCCAACTTCCTAACTTTTAAATTGATTTTACTTTGTCTTTATTTATGTGCATTTATGTGCAGATGTGTTTCAGTGCCCATGGAGACCAGAAGTGCATGTCAGATTCCCTGGAGCGGGAGTTACTGTGACTGTGAACCACTTGATGTGGTTACTGCAAAAAGAGCTCTCTAGTCATCTTAACTGCTCAACCATTCTCCCTCCATTTTAAATTCAGTATTTTCTCCTATTCTACAGACTATAGGTGTGGTAAAGCTAGAGACTCAAACAGTACTTCCCATACCTGCAGATGCCTGTGCATGGGCATCAGTGTGGTGCTGGCAGACTTTAGTCAAGAACTCACTCACTTGACGCAGGGAAAGGGCATTGTGTAGTGTTTCCAGGGGGTAGATGGTAGGGACCATGGAGCACCCTTCAAATCCTGTTGGAGAAGAGATGAACAAAGCCAGTGTTATTCTCAGCAGATATACTCCAAGTGGCCAAGGAAGGGTGGAGAGTCCCTGAGAGCCATCAGGAGCGTCTGTGGCTTTTGGAGTATGGGGCATCCAAGATTCCCAGGAGAAGGAACTCTTTAGAGCCCTTCAGGAAGTCTATTTATCTCATCTCCAATTTTCCCTAAAATGTCTACCTGTTAAGCCTCCAAGTGATCAAATCACCTTCACCTATGAAGAGCACACAGCGTCCATGGACTAATGAGAGCACTAACGCTGCTCTTGCACTTTCTGGGGGAAATAAAATGGGGATCAAGGGGCAAGGGGTTGAAATCGCATGTCTAACATGAGGCAGCGGGTCATGGAGCTTGGAAGGAACAGCAGATTTCAGGTATCATGAAGAAAAAAAAACAGATTAAGGAGAAGGGCATGGAATTGGAGGAGGGGTTCATGCAAATTTAGGATGTGGGTAGAAGGGCTAGAATACTGGGATGCAAACTGGAGAGCATGCAGTACATGAAGCTCAGCTGAGGGAAACCACATGCATGAACAGGGTGGGGAATGGAAGTTCTTTCTTGGTCATTTCCATCACATCAAAGCTTTTTCCTTGTGCTCTAGCAGTAACATCCTGGGCTTGCTAGGTTTTCTCTATTCCACCAGGAAAATGAGACAAGCCCCACCCCTGAGAAAAATACCATGTAATACAGGTCTATAATCTTAGTAGGGCCAAAGGTAAACATCAGTGAATAACCCTACTCCTAGGACTATTAACGGGGAACATGCTCCCGCTGAAGAATCAAGAACATGTCCTAAACACTCTCAGTCCCCACTTGTTCCAATGCTGCTTCTCCTGAAAGGAACTAAGAACAGGGAGGGAGAACCATCTACAAAAGACTGAGCCTCCTCTTCACCAGCTCAAACTGACCATACCTGACCATCTTCTAACCTCCAGCTTTGTTTGTCTTGATATTTAGTTGATGACCCTGTGCCTTGGCTTCCTCTTACAATCTAGTGGCAGGAGGGCAGAGGAGTCTCTAGCTCATCAGAGTGGTTAGAAAAACATTTGAATTTGAAAAGGATAGTAGTAGAAGATTAGAGCAATAAGAAAACATTAAAAACAAACAAAAACCACCAGATTCCACTGCAAGAGATTATGCCTACGCTGAACAGAAGGGGTAACGTTAGGGGGAAGTAAGAAAGGAGACTAGAAGGGGGATGAGCAGCCAACGCTACAGCTACCAGGCAGCCTGGCCCCAATCCCAATCAAGCAACTAATGCAAGTCACATAACCTCAGAGACTAGATAGGCTCTCCAGCCGGAAATGCAGTAAGCAAAGCAATGAGTCCCAGCCAGGGGAGTGGCAGCAGCCAGCCTGCGGCAGGGGTACCGTAGAGGCACTCGGGGTCATCCTGGCCTGAGCGCAGCCAGTTCCGGAAGAGGCGCAGGTGGTAGGAGCACTGGCGCAGGTGATGCGCCAGCGTGGCGTCCAAGGAAACTGGGCAGCCCCTTGGGCAGTCAGAGGACAAAGTGCGCAGCAGCCGGACCACAGGGTGCTGGTCATCCAGCAGCTCTGGAGGGGACAGAGGGACCACCATAGGAAGCACAAAGATAAAGAAAGAAAAGAAGGAGAGACAATGAGGGGGCGCTGACTGGCACAGCGTTCCTGGGGGTGGGGGCCACTTAGACCTGAGGTAAGCTAAGGAAGAAGGAGAGATGGTCAGAGAGACTGGCCATCCCTTACTTGGAAGAAGAGTACTGACACTACACAGTGAGACTCAAAGAAGCCATGAATGAGAGCCTAGGCCCTCCCCTTCTCCCTTGACCAGTACGGCATTCTGGATACTAGTGAGCTGCTAACTCTGCAGCCTTGACTAGAGCTCAGCGTCTGTGATCTGGCTTAGACAAACCCTAGGGCCTACTTCTCAGACAAATGGATTTATGACATTGGGACAGAGATGAAGAGATTCAATGTCACTTAGAGAAGAAAGTCAAAATATTAGATGTCAAGATAACTTCAAAACTGAAGCATTCCAGAAGGCTAAGGCCTGCTGTTATGCAGATTCTAAGATAGCCACAGACAGGACTGGTGCCAGGTGGCTGGCACAAAACGCTGGCAGGAAACCAGGAGAAGGACTCCTTTGAAACAGTGCAGGTAGAACCAGAGTTTGCTCTTTATAGTAAAAATATGACTAACTGCCCTTTACCTTCCTCTTGTACAAATAAACACTTTAGTCTCCGAATATGGGTGGTGGTGATGTGCCCGTCACTGGGACCAGAAGTTAGATAATCTTACGCTGTCTCTCCATGGATGATGGTCTAACCACTCTCTGTGCAGCTGGTGTGTGGAGGAACGCTAATTCGGAAACCCTCATTGTTTCAGTCACTTGGCACATTCTATGGATGCCTGGGGTTCAGCAGCAAAATGGCTGAAGGCATGGAAAGCCATGTGATGAGGGGTACAAGAGGAACAGCCGTGTAAGATCTTGGAGGAAATATATGGAGATGAAGGCTGACGTGAGGATGAATAAGGGCTTGATCCAGGAAAGGCAGGAGGATCAAAGTGGGTAAAGATGATGGCTCAGAACTCCCGGATCAGACCTGTTTCACCTGCTGGTCCCATGAGACCACAGCTTCCAAAGAGCTTGGTTTTTAGTTCTTCCTGGACTAGTACAGTGAGGCCTGACTGTACTAATGGTCACACCGCTGTGTGGGGTGATGTAATATAGAGAGCCTGACAAAGCCACTGGGGGCTCTGACACTTTGGATGAGTATGAACTACTGTCTCTTTCCCACTGGATGAACTTGCTTTGGTGAGCTCAGCCAACAGTTTAATGATGTACCATACCCGTGTGCTTGCTGTAACCACAGGCTATAAAAGCTCCTCAGGAAGAGAAGCAGGGATGCACTAGGACTGCTCTCCCATCAGAATATGGAGACAGCATTGCCTTGTCTCTTTTCCAAAGCCAGGTCCAATTTTTGGGGGCTTTGTTTTTTTAACTGCTGTGTCAAAGCCACACATCATACAAGGAGATGGTGACACTGGGCAGTGGGGCTGGCACATGGTTATAAAGAATCTGCCATAGGCAACAGTAGACAGAACAACTGCTCTGTAATTGCTGAGTCAGTAAAGCAAGACGTTGGCCATGTGTAGAGCTCTTGTGTTGTCTTCAGGGCTAAATTCTATCAAGATGATCTTCTTTGTCAAACACAACAGTTCAAATTTCTCAATACAACAGGCAGATCCCAGGTCCTGGCTTTGCAAGCATATTAACTTCCTAGCTCAAACACAAGAGAGATAAGGAGGCTAGAAGAACCCTGGGGAAGTGTGCAAGGTGTCGGAGACCTTGGGTTGTTCTCCTGCACTATAACTGAACTGTCCAGGTCTTTCTTCCTTTCCTCCTTATGGCAGAATTAATTCTTGCTTCTTCAGCTGCTGAGTCTGCTAACCAAGCCTCAGAGAACTAGAGATATAGGCTTGAGGATTTGTTTTATGAACTCAGGTTTTTTTTTCTCTTATGGCACCCAAGAAACTGGGAGGTGGTAAGAGAGGAAGGAGAAGGAAGGGGTAGAGAGACTGAACTTGTACAACAAGTAACGATGCTAGTCTCACGATGGCAACACTAATGCATTCATCACCTCTCCAGAGACCCAGCTCTCAGCACCCTAGTAGTGGAAGGTCTCCCTTTCTGGCTTTGGCAGCCTATTTTAAGCTTTAGAAAAGCATATTTATTTTAATTTTATATTGAGCTCTTATTTCAGAGGCCCAGGCTCCTGGTACTATATTTTCAACTAAGTCCAAGTCTCGGGCTTTTGGGCATCAAGTTCTCCTCTGTGACAACTGTGGTATGCAAGACTCTATGAGTTAGCACAGACAAGTTACTACGGACGGGGATTTTGGCCACAGGCAGTGAAAAGAGACTGGTGGTGGAAATGAACTGAAGGAATACAGGGTGGTCAACCAGAGAGAAACTTCAGTAGTGTCTAGAAGATATACATGACATGGTCAGGCCAAAATCTAACACCTACTATTGGTGGGGCAGCTGGTGGGACAGGGGCAGGAAATCAGGGTAATTTTACCTTCCTCTGACAATCTCAGCTCTTGAATACAAGAAAACTGTATCTAACAAAACTGGATTTACTCGGGGGACAAGATACAACAGCTGAGAGTAGGTCTTAGGTTTCCTTGCCACACCCCACAAAGAGACCACAACCTTTCAGGGTACAATTTACACAGACTTAGCTCTCTATATTCTTAAAATATTGCTAATTCCTAAGTTCTCCAAGGATTCCTATCTCATCCCTTTATTTCCACCTTCTCTGAGACAGTGTTTCTATAGATATACCTGGCCTCATGGAAAATAAAGACTCAAGGTGTAGAGGCTGGGGCCTAGCTCTGGGGCAGAGCATATGGCTAGTACACACAGATACCAGGGTTCAATTTCCAGCACTGACCACTCAGCCAAAGGGGAAAAAGGGAAAAAGAAAGAAACCACAAGGTACAGTCCTTTCTTCTTACCTAATATCTCCCATTCCTATTTTTTTTTCTTTTATCCCAAAGCAACCTGGGCTCCAGTTTTCTAGGCTCAGGCACTAGGTTAGTAAAACACAAAGCAGATGTCAGGAACACAAGAGCCACACAAAGTGCACACAATGGCAGGAGACAGGAATATGCAGATGGGAAGTCATGTGTCCAAACCAAAGCCCTAATAAGTAACTGTAGCATTGGTCCAAAAGAAGAACACATGCTGCCTCCACCCCATCAAGGAGATCAAAATTACATAAACGAAGACAGCAGGGAGAGAGGGAGCCCTATCTAGGTGATGCTATTCTCAGCTAAGGACAACCTCAGTATGTCTGTACACGGCTTGGCAGCTATGTGATAGGAAAGGGAGCGTCGTGACTGATGTTTCGGTGGTGATGCTCACAAAGGTTATGGGATGGTGATGACGGTGACTATGGAAATCAGACCCTGAGTTGCCACAGGGACAGGTCAGCCTATCCAGGCTACAGCCACGGCTACAGCTGTCACAAGGGAAATGTCCCCAACAGGGACACTTAGTGAGGGGCTCATTCAGAGAAAGCAAGGTGTCAATATAGTGGAAGGAGAGGCCAAGTCAGCGTCAGAACTCGGGGTTAAGTGTCTGGAGGTGACATGAGGGAGGAATGAGGCTGAGTCAGCAGCAAACGTACCGTTAGTCGGATGCTTTGCAAACGACACAGAAAATCGTTTTACGGCCGGGACAAACAAGAGCTCTGGGGAGAAAAGACATCACGGGGATTATACCCACCCCTGTGCCCACCCTCGGCTTTGGAACCTGCCCACTGTGCACCTGGTGCTTTACCTCGCTGTGAAATTTGGTCCCATCCCCAACCCTGGGACCCTGACTACAACACTACACTTATTTCCTCTGCTGTACTCTCCAGGAGCTGATGTCACCTCCACCACAGCATGGTCCCACAAAACAACCCTGATTTCACCACCACGCTCTCTTCCTAGCCACTTGGAAATGAAATCTGTATAGAAACATCCTTCCCTTCCCCCAGTATCTTTCCACATCATCTTTTCACCTTCGCTGAGCAACCTCACATGCCTAGCCCTGACTTCCTGGAACTTCAGCAAGACCCCACTGCATTCCTCCTGACCATGGATCATCCTCTCGGTCCTCATCCTACAGGCCAGAATCCAGGAAAGAGTACAAATTGATGCAGCCAGGCTGTGTGTGGGAGCTTATGAAGGGATAAGCATAAATCAGTAGTATCTGTATGGTGAGAGGGAATGCGAATGGAGGAGTGGAAGGGGTCCCGGCTCCTTCTCCCATCTATTATCCATGAGGAAGCTTAGTACAAGGCCAATGCCAGTGCCATCTTAAGCATGGGTAGTTCTGAAGCTGTATGCTTGCTGGGAGACAAGTTTTTTTTTTTTTTTTTAAAGAGAGACAGAGAGAGAGTTGCCCCCCAAAACCCACCCACATACCATCTCGGTGCTTTAGACTGGCAGGCGGGAGTTTTTTGCCATGGCTGCGGGCGTAGTCCTGAAGATTCGGAGCGCTGGAGGAGCCGCCCAGCACTGTGGTGCTGAACAGCCCTGTGCACTGTGAGCCTGCAGGGCCAGGAGCACATTAGTAGCCACACAAAGCTGCATATAGAACACCCAACTTCACAGTACAACATTAAGACACACATAGCCATTCAGCGCCACCATAACGCAGCTACTCCAGGTAACCAGTGTCCTCTACTGTCCATAGCCACACCAGGCAAGCAGAGTAGCAACTCTCCAGAATATCTACATGGCAGAGACAAAAGGCCACTACAGAAACGGTGTTAGTCTTATTAGGCATTCGGTCTACTGAGGTGGATGGTGCTTTCCAGGTAGCTCTCAGAAGTACTAAAAGAACAGTCTCCCTAAACTTCTAAAAGCTATGTTACTTTGTGTAGGAGGTGAGAATGCAGGCCATGTCGTGCACGTGGAGGCCAGGGGACAACTTGCAGTACTCAGTCCTCTCCTTCGATCGTGAAGGTCCCAGGGATTAAACTCAAGTCATCAGGTTTGGCAGCAAGTGAGAGCCTTCACTGCTGAACCACCTTGCCAGTGCACGTTCCCCTATGCCTAACCAGGGGTCCTTTACTCTGGATAGAGGATTTTAGAGACCCAGAAATCTAGCCCCTTGGAGGCTTGAAAGGAAAAAGCTTTCACTGGAATTAGAGACTGGGTTTGGATACTTGGCTGGCACACAATTCCATGTTCTTCATCTAACAATCTATCATTCAGAGCTTTTCTCACAAGTATGAGCCTTCTAAAGCCGAAAGGGACTCAGAGACCATCTACTTTAACTTTCTCATTTTACATAATTGATGAAGAAACAGACCCAAAAGGAGTCTCCTTTGCTCAAGGTCACAGTACAGGAGGTAAGGAGGACCAGAATCCAGGTCTCCTTCCTCCGGATACTATGTTTGGTTAGAAGAGAAGGATTTTCTTCACAAGGAAACAGCATAGATTCTGAAGTCAAGATGGACACAAATCAGAAGACATCTGAAAAGTCATCTGCTTATAAAGTAGGGCATACCAGTTATGTGCTAAGCACCCTACTAAGACAGAAATCAAGAAACAATGGGAAAACCATCTTTCTTTTCCTGCTCTGAAAAGTATATTGTCTTGCAAGCCCTGTGATCAAAACCAGCTGCTCACATATGTAAGTTCAAAGAGAGCAAAAAGAAGTGCCAGTCTGAGGAGTAAATGAAACACGAAGAACCCCTGAAAAGGACAAGTCAGGTCAGAAACCGTCCCCAGGGTGACCTAGAGAGAGTAGGGCCGGACTCCCCAGTCCTCCATCTACAGCCTCAGGGACAGAGAAACCTGGAAGTCATAGGACCGACATTCTTAAGTGTGGTGGCACACACCTTTAATTCCAGCACTAGGGAGGCAGAGGCAGGAGGATCTCTGTGAGTTTGAAGCCGGCCTGGTCTACATAGGGAGTTCCAGGACAGCCAGGGTTATACAAAAAGACCTTGACTCAAAAAGCAAAAGTAAGGCATTCAGATTCTTGGAATTTGCCCTTCTACTTCCAAATTCATCATAGTCAAGACCCTGAGTTTGGCTGGGGAGGTCATATCCATATTCAGACTGGAAGAGAGGATCCTTTGAGCCTACAGAGAAGACCAGGGTCCCAGTATTTCAGGGCTACCAGAAAAATCAGAAAGCTCAGTTAGGCAACGGTTTCGACCCTGGCATCAGGACCTCTTTATGCAGCAACTTCTCCCAAATTCCATGCTCAGTCAGGCTTTAGAATAAAATGTCACCCTACAAAAGATGTCTGCTTTTCTTCAGAGAAGGCTGAAGGGAACTGGCTCTACCCTAGACCACAGCAAGCTCCGTCCTACATTGACTTCCTCTGCTGAATACTTTTCTGGTACAACCCTGCCAGCCCCACTCTGCCTGGTCCTCAGGCGTCTCAGAGAGCAGTCTCTATCTTACCATCTGTCACTAGGTCTGTGTATCCCTCACTCTGCCACATTCTGTTTGCTTCATTTTGAGATTAAGTTTCCCTGTGTTGTCCATTCTGGCTAGCCCAAACCCCTGGGTTTTAGGGGTCCTCCCATCTCATTCCCCACAAGTGTTTTGGTCTATAGGCACATGCCACTGCACTATATATACCCAGTCTCCTATGCCTTATTCTTTTTCCTTTTCTCTTCTTTCTTCTTTTTTGTTTTACGTTGGTTTTGGTTTTGGTTTTTGAGACAAGGTTCCTCTGTTGTAGCTCTGGCTACCCTGGAACTCACTCTGTAGACCAGGCTGGCCTCCCTTGATGCTGGGACTAAAGGTGTGCACCACCACCGCTTGGCTGTTTTGTTTTTATGAGACGGAGTCTCACTGTGTAGGCTTGGATGGCTTGGAACTCACAGAAATATATCTGCTTCTTCCCCCAACCCTGACCTCCTGAGTGCTAGGATTAAAAGTGTATTACCATGCTGGATCCTATGCCTTATTCTTTTTCTTTTCTTCTTCCTTTTCCCCCCATTTTTCTCTCTGCTTATGAAGACTCCCACTTACACACCTATCTACTTTCTAACCTATCTAAAATCTATTCCTTTATCTTCTTTATTTTTCTTTTTTCGTTCATTATTTATTTATTTATTTTGGGACAGGGTTTCTCTGTATAGCATTGAAGCCTGTCCTGGAACACTCTCTGTAGACAAGGCTGGCCTCGAACTCACAGAGATGTGTCTGACTCTGCCTCCTGAGTGCTGGGATTAAAGGTGTGTGCCACCATCGGCCAGCTCTGAAATCTACTCTTTACTGGATTTTGCTGTTTCTTGACCTTTGGAATTTCTGGGGCAAGAAGTCCACTTTGTTGACCTATAGTTGTCATTTAATCCTCAGAGTTGGTTTAATCCCCAAACCAACCAACTGATTTCAGGGTTCTAGAAGCCAGTCTACTTCCATAAAATTAGCTTGGAAAGTTACAAAAAACATTTTTCCTCTTTACTAGTTCAAATATTAACATTTTGGGACCAAAAAATTAAGCAGCAAGGACAAAAATAACAAAAAATTTAGAAGGTTTAAATATAGAGAATAGGACAAGATTTTTAAAAAAATGAGCCAGGAGAACCAGTTCAGACCCCGCAAATCATCTCTGACCTGCAGTTAGTTACTTGGTTTACACGGCATTGTGTTCAGAGGCAGTCCATCTCAAGGACTGCCCCATAGAATACCATACCCTCTGAGGCTTGGTGCTTCCTCAAGTCTGTGTCCTTAGAAAAGGTTGAATGACGTTCTCCACCCCTTTCCAGGGCTCAAAAAAAATCAAGAGACATTCCCTCAGTGTCCTGAGGGAAGCCTCTGCCACCTCACCCGACTCAGATTTGTGTCCCTCAAGCTTCCAGAAAGAAAGGAAAAAGTTACAGGATTAGGAAAGCAGGTGCGAACACCAGGCTTCAGAGGAAGATGTGGCCCAAGGTCTCATATGAAAACACGACAACCGGGATCACAAGTACCTCTAGTTTTACCTGCATAACCCAAGCACCTGTCACTGATAACTCTGAAGGGTCAAAGCCTCCATGGTCCCTTAAAGTCTGGGTTGGACTGGAGGGACAGATAAGGAATGAGAAGGAAAGCCATAAAAATACCCTGCAGCTAGGGAAATGGGGATTGGTGGGGAAATCAAAAGGTAAACACTCTTCTGGGGTGAAAACAATCACCTAGACCTATCCAAAGGTAATTCCTCCACTCCATCCCTTCCTACATCTGACAGTTCCTGTGATGAAGATTTCCCACAATAAAACTCTGGATAACAGACAGACAAGCCTTTCCAACAACAGGTAAGAGATGCGGGAAGCCTACCTAGGCCACTCTGCTTCATCTCTGTTGGGGGACGCGAAGATGAAAACAGCCGGTAGCCACCGGGCCTTGAAGATGAAGTTTCAGACAGCACCTGTAGAAAAAGGACTTTATATCAATCCCCTTGTCACCTCAAAGTAGAAAACCCAGGTTCTGAATCTTGCCCCTACAAAGCCAAGCAGTATCAAAAAGATTAGATGAGCCAAAAGATTTTTATGGTGGAAGAGGAAAAGGGAACAGAGTGCACGCTGCAGAGTGAACTGTCCAGGGAGTTCATCTATGTTAGAAGGCATGTCTACTGTCCAAACACTGGTCCTTGCAACCTCCCCGCCCCCACCCCCCAGATCTGGCGAACCATGATCCAACCATTTGTCTTCCTCAGCCAAGTCGGCACTTCAGTCTTACCTGCTCCTTCCTAGAACTCAAAAATCAATGACTCAGCCACAAATAAAGTATGGCCTGCCCTCTCTTTTTTCCAGAGACAGTTGGGGTGAATGGAGCCATCCTCAGTTTCTTGTATAAGCCAAGAAACCCTCCCCTCCAATTATTTTATTCCTGGATACATGAAACTGATTTTTTTCCCCCAAAATTTCCATGAGGGCCAACCAGACAGCTCCCAACATCCACACATCCCACCTAAACAAGGAGCAGTTTCCCTAGATCCCAAAAGCAAAGACAGAAGGCAGGAAAGGAAGGCAAGGTGGGAAGAGACACCTGTGTGCAGGAAGCCAGGTGAGTGGTGGACACAGCCCGGGGCTGTAGGCCGATGGCTGGGGAAAGCCGGGGGAGGTCTCCTGACCTCCTGCGGCGCCGTCCCCTCAAGGGGATCAGGTCCAGGTTCCCCGTGCACTGCATGTTCATGACCTGCAATCAGACCGGGTGGAAAGCCGGTCAAGGCTCCTTTAGCCCCCAAGTTCCCAAAGTCCCAGTGCCCAAAGGGCAGAGTCAGAGAGCTGGAGAGGATGGTCAGCTAGGGCACAGCTGCTATTAAGGTCACAAATTTTATAATCTAAAACAGTTCAAAAATATCAGATGACAAGAGAAGAAGGAGGGATGAGATGTCATTGATGAGGATAAGATGTCCAATATTGGCCTACAGAGCAAGGAAAGAAAATATTAATAATATAAGGCTGTGTGACTACGGACTGGCTGAGGAGCACATTCTGAATAGTCATCACCCTGAATGAGCCAGGATCTAAATACCAGAGACCCAAAAGAAGGAATGTGGTTACAACAGGAATCGCAGAGAGTTCTGGAGGCTCAAGCCTGTGAGTCCAGCTCAGGAGGATAAGGCAAGAAGATCACCAGTTCAAAGTCTGCATGAGCTACAGGGTGAGTTCAACATCAGCCTCGGAAATTCAGCAAAACCCAGTCTCAAAATGAAAGACAACAGAAAGGGCTGCGAATGCCACTTGGTGCTTAGAACACTTGCCTGGCATATGTGAGGCCACAAAGAAAAGGAATCACACTCAAGGAAACTTCCAGAAAGAAGACAATCCCAGTAAGCCTGAGAGAGGATGTGCAGAGTGATGTCCCCTGTGCTGACATAAGATGGCAAAGGGACAGCCCGGGAAGACAAGCACATACTGTCCTGTCGTTGGGTCAGTGTGTGCAGAGTGCTGGGCACCCGGTTCCACCCGCGCCTCAAGGGAAACTAAGGCACATCTCTGCTAAAGAAACCACATGTTCCAATCAGCGATCCCCTAAAACAGCTGGGAAGCAAAGGGTAAGTCTGAACAGAGACTGCAGTTTATTTTCTTGGCCTTCTCTAAAATCTGAAATGTAAATCTCTGCATTAACCATGAAAGCTTATTACAGATTTTTCTGAGATATCCTAAAGCGGAAAAAACAAGTCCCATAAGACAGAGGCCCGCAGAGAGCAGTTGAATAGATCCATGGTTCCGAGCAGCAGCCAGACCAGGCATAAGTCATGACATCCAAAGGAAAGTCATGGAGGAAATTAAAGAAAGTATCACTGGGCCAAAGAAGAAAATCACATTACCAAGAAAGACAAATCCAAACCTGAGGAAAGTAAGGAGATGCAGTGATAAATCTGTACAAGTTCTGTCCTCTAGATTAGAAAACCAGAAGTGGGATTTGAGAAAAAGTCTAAAAATATCACAACACAGACCCAGGCAGATAAACCTCCTCATCAGGAGAGACACAGACTCTGGATGATCAATCATCCTTCTGGCATGACATTATAGATAACCCTAATGGCATTCAAGTGCCAAGAACTGCTCAAGCCTGAACAAAGAGAAGGACAGGGCCTGGCCTCCACCACACTGCACGGCTACTGCAGTGACTGTTAGTACATCTATAAGATAAGGTAGATATTGCTGACATCGTATAGAGGGAAAAAGATGAAAGTTTGAGAAGCTACCTGGACAAGGTCACACAGCTTCTGAGAGTCAAATGGTGATGTCAGCCCAGAAGTCATACTGTTTCTACTTTATCCTAAAATTTTTCCCCTTAGGTATTGCTCATTGGCAAGTCTTTAACATCACAAGTAACAACCAGCTTAAAGAAGTCCTACTGGGGACCAGCTGTGAAAGAAACATTAGGTAAAAATAATAAATACCACTGCAAGGGGCTCAAGCTTTAAGTCTCAAGAAGATTCAGAGGAACGAGGATATTTTCCTACAAGTACTGGTACCCCATCATCATCTTGTCCATCTCATTACCTCCATGGAGCCAGCTTTTCGATTCCGAATGAGGGGTGACCTCCTTGGGAGGCCAGTGCCCTCGACAGGTAGGGGAGAGGTCTGCAATGCTCGGTCTGGTTCGTCTGAGGCCTTCCCTGGGCACAGGTTCTCTATGCTGCCTTGATCTGCTTTCATCTCCTCATTCTGTTTCATAATAGACAAATGGAGAGACATTAATGGTTTTCATCTTCCTGATATCAAACTCCTCAACCTTTTTAACCACCCTTGATCACTTCCCAGTTTCCTGTCACCTGGTTCCCTGGGCCCTAAGTCCTAGAGCCCCAAATCCCAGCTCTCTGACCCACCTCTGAAGAAGCTGGGCGGAATCCACAGCCAGCTGGGGCACTGCCTTCTTCAATACCCTTCACCCCAGGGCTGAAGTGGAGCTCCACATGGAACCGCTCCTCCGACAATGGGTCCTATGGGGCATCACCATATGAAGGGTAATTGGGAGAATCTGGATGTGGTGACAGGACACGTGGGAGCAACAGAGAGGAACTCACAAGGATACAACCACCCAGGAAAGCCAAGACTGAGGTTTCAGGGTCTTGCCCTCAGTCTGGGACTCATCTATTATAGGAGCTCACGCCTCACCTCCCGTTCTACAATCCTTCCTTTCCATCTCTCCTAGTAACAGCTTGGCTATGGTATATACAGCAGAACTTTAAAGCTGTCTTTGCTAAGACTGATGCAGAAGGCATGTGTGTATACGCATATGTACACACACACACACAGAGCAATATCAGCAGAAACAAGACTCATAAAACATTGTCCCAAATTCCACAGTTGTTCTAGGTTATTTCTCTGGTTCAACATTGCCCCAGAACAGAGTTCTGTTCCAGTGGACTCCTTCTAGGTGCTCTGTGCCGTGCCGCACCTACACACTGCATCTAGCTGGATTCTAGAAATTCTTTTTCTTTAAGATGAAAACAAACTTATTAAGTATACTGTAAAGAGAGCAACAGATATGGCAGTTGAAGAAAGACTACTGACCAAAGTCTATAAAAATCTAAACTAGGAAAGATTTTGTGAACCTATGGGCCAGCTCAGCAGGTAAGGGTTTACCACTAACCCCAGTGATCTGAGCTTGATTCCACCGCGGTGAAGAGGAGAGTCAACTCCTGCAAGCTGTTCTCTGATCTCTATACATGTACAGAGCATGCCTGCACACACACTGATCTTTATACATATACAGTGTGTGCTTGCAAACACCTATGCGCACACATGCACACACTGATCTCTATACATGTACAGTGCATGCCTGCACACACTGATCTTTATACATATACAGTGTGTGCTTGCAAACACCTATGCGCACACATGCACACACTGATCTCTATACATGTACAGTGCATGCCTGCACACACACTGATCTTTATACATATACAGTGTGTGCTTGCAAACACCTATGCGCACACATGCACGCACTGATCTCTATACATGTACATACAATGCATGTCTGCATACACCTTTACAAGTGCATGCACACACTGATTGCTATACATGTACGGTGCGTGCCTGCACATACCTACATGTGCACACGTGCGCATGCATGCATACACACACACATACACACGCATGAGCACACTAAGTGTTTAAAAATAAAAGGTAAGTTGCTTTTTAATGGGAGTAGGAAGAAGGGCCCTCTCCTCATCCCACCCACTGGCTCCTCACCCGTGTGTTGTCCTCATAAAGCATGATAACAATCTGGGTCATGTAGTTGAGCTCTGAGATGGCACTAAGATAAGCCAAAGCTCGCTGCCATTGTGCATCCTGGGTCTCCTACCAAACACAAACAAAGGTAAGCCAGTGCCCAAGGACAAGTAAGAGGAGTGGGCAGGGGACCGAGGAGAATGGCAAACGTCCACAGGAAAAACAGACGCAAGGACAGCTGATGACTGCTAGAAAAGATGCTCAGAGGTCAAAGGAGGGAGGAGGATGCTTACGTCAAGAAGTCCCCCATAACGGAAGACACTGAGTAGGGAGTGAACGTGACTTTCACTGGTGAAATACAGACGTGTTCGAACATGGCGCCCTGGAGAGAGCACTCCACGGGAGTACCTGACATGGAAGTCAAATCAGATACTCAGTCAGATAATTCTTTCCTGTGACAACTCCTCCTCCCACCTAAAGACTTCTCTCCTCACCATCCCGGACCCTATCTCTTCTTGGCCCCCCAGGGCTCCCAGCATGCCCTCCCTCCCTCCATCCAGTTCCCCTCCCAGCCCTCCCTCACAGGGGATGCAGCTTGTTGACAGACTCATCCTCGTGGGTTCTCTGCAGGTCAAGCAGGATTTTGCGCAGAAGGGGAAGACAGAAGCCCACAGCAATTTCCATTTTCTCCTCCCGACTGATTCCATACTCCTGAGGGTCACAGGCCAGGAAAAAGAAGCAACTCAGTTATTCTTGCCACACATGTTTCCCTCAGGCCTGGCGTTTCCTTCCTGTCCATCACAGCCCCTCCAAAAGTCTCTTCAGTCAGTCCTGGTGCCCAGACTAGTCCTGGGAACTGCAGCAACTTCATTCCTTCTCCAAGTTTCCTTTCTAGGTCTCTTTCTTTCCTCCCCTCCCATTCTTCCCACCTTACTGGATCCATTATATGAGACACACCTGGGGAATGACTACATCGGCCAGAGCTTTTGAAAGATGCAGCAACTCGGCTGTGCCCTGGAGGCCCAGACTCCCATTATGTTGTACATCGTACTTGACGCAGTCGTAGATATCAGGGATCTTGCTGATGTCATAGCGCCCGCTCTTGTGCCGGAAGTCGCGCTCTAGTTTGCTCCAACGCTGCAGCATTAGCTCTAGTGTCTCACTGTGGTAGAGCTGCAGGTCTGAGAAGAAGGCAGACAGTCAAAGGGGGCCAGACTTGACTTCCAGTGTAGAACCGGAGGGATCGGGAGTTCCTGAGGAATGCATCCATGCCCGAGACTTTAGAGGGCAGACAGTAGTAATCACACCCACCTACAGAGCTGGGGTCCTGCATCCGTTCCCGAATCTGGTGGGTTAGGTTTTCAATCAGGGAAAACACCTGATTACAGACTTTGACAGGATTCTGGATGATAGACATGGAGTTGAGGAGAGAAGTGCTTCCGGTAGGAGCCAGCTGTGAGGAAGAGAGCACAGGCTCAGGCCGATCCCCAGACTGTGGTTTACTACAGAGAAACTGGCTGTGATACAGAGCTGCCTGCTGGCTCATTTCAGGAGGGATCTTTTGTTCCTGGGCATCCTGGCAGTTCCGGGCTTTTAAATGAAGACATTGCTCCAACACACAAGCATCCATGAGGGGACCGTCTTAAAAGTTTCAGATCCAGAGAAATTAAAGTATACTCACAAGTAAAGTACACTTCACTTGGGTACTGTAAAATACACGTGAGAAGTGCTGGAGAATAAAGAATAAATTCCTTACAGTCTCTGGAATGTCCTGATGAGAATCAGAGAGGACTGTCTCACACTGACTTACAGTACCAGTGTTCATCTAACCCAGCTTCAGCTTAGGGTTTTAGGGGGTTTTTTTTGTCTTTTTTTTTTTTGTTGTTAGGCTTGTTTTTGAGATAAGGTCTTGCTATGTAGCCTTGGCTGGCCTAGAATTCACTCTGTAGACCAGGCTGCCCTCAGACTTACAGAGATCCACCTTACTTCTGCTTCCTGAGGACTGGGATTAAAGGTGTGCACCACCATGACCAGCTTCAATTTAAGACAGTTACCATCAATACAAAATGAGGAGGGCTGGAGAGATGGCTCAGTAGTTAAGAGCATTTACTGTTGATACACGGGGACAGGGAGGGTCTGGTTCCCAGCACACATGTGGGTAGCTCATGGCTACTTAGAACTCTAGTTCCAGGAGATTCAACACCTCTTCTGGACACCATAGGCACCTAGGCACAAGTGCACAAACCCACACACAGATATACATGCACATATACACTTAAAATAAACATAAACTGGGCAGTGGTAGCACACACCTTTAGTCCCAGCACTTGGGAGGTAGAGACAGGCGGATCTCTGTGAGTTTGAGCCAGCCTGGTCTACGGAGTGAGTTCCAGGACAACCTGGGCTACACAGAAAATACCCTGTCCCTGTCTTGAAAAACAACAAATAAGTAAATAAGCAAACAAACAACTAAAATACTAAAAGAAAAGAGATGGGAAGGAATAAGTGTAGATGGAATAAAGAGTTCTGGCTAAGGTCTCAGAAGCTTCATTCTCACTAACAAAAGGAAGCATAAAGATAGGGAGAAACCCTAGATTTTCTGTTTGACAGTGAACAACACTAGACTAGCTGGGAAAATAAGGAAACAAGTCTGCCCCTTAGGAAGTCATTCAAGAAGCTACCAGAGGGACCAGAGAAATGGCTCCGCTGTTAAGAGTGAGTCTGCTCTTCCAGGGGACCTGAGTTTGGTTTCCAGCACCCACATGGCAGCTCACAATCGTCAGTAACTCCAGGGATCTGAAGCCCTCTTTTGACCTCTATGGGCATTGTACAAACATGGAGTGTATATATATATATATATATATATATATATATATATATATGTGTGTGTGTGTGTGTGTGTGTGTGTGTGTGTGTGTATGTATATGTATATGTATGTATGTATGTATGTATGTATAGGCAAAACACTCATTCACATAAAAAAATTAAATATACACTAAAATAAAGAACTTATCAAAATTAAGTGTGGGACAGTAAACAAACAAACCCAACCCATTACCCGGCCAACTGTGGCCTAGATACTCAGGAAAAAGAAGATTGAGTTGGGAACGGCAACTGCCATCAACGCCGATGGGCAGAGGGACTGAAGTACTAAGCAGCCAGGCCTTCAGAGAAGACTCCTGGGGTCTAGACCACCTCTGCCACCTTGAAAGGGTTGTTTAAGTTACTTAGAACTTAGGTCCCTCCTCTGTAAGATGAAAGAGGGGTAGGCCAGTTCTAAGAGTTCCCAGGCAGATTAAAGGTGACCATTAATTCTTTGTCCTTTGTCTCTCTCTCTCTTTCTGTGAACCAGGCCTCGCTTTGTGACTGCTTCACCAAGATAAAATGACAACCATTCATTGTATTACTTCTGGACCCCCTGCTTTAGAAAGCTTGGAAGCTTTGTAGACGGAGGCAGAGGCAGGAGGGTCACTGCAAGTTCAAGACCAATCCGGGCTCCATGGCAACACCCTGCCTCAAAAAAAAAAAAAAAAAGGAAGGAAACTTGGGATGCTTCTAACTTCACCTGGGAAAACTAAGATACTAGACCAATCACATGACAAATTCTTGTGAAGGGGACAGGTCCTGCAGTTACAGGGAGAGGATGAAGTCAAGAGCCAGCTATCCCAGAATTCTAGTGAAGTCTCCAGATATAACAGATTCCCACCCCAATCAGCACTGCACTACCACTTCAGGAAAGCACAAGTGAGGCCAGACAAGCCCAAGACTGCGAGGAGTGAACTGGTAAGCACTCTGAGTTATAGTCCCGGAAGACTGTGAGGAGTGAACTGGTAAGCACTCTAAGTTATAGTCCCGGAAGACTGTGAGGAGTGAACTGGTAAGCACTCTAAGTTATAGTCCTGGAAGACTGTGAGGAGTGAACTGGTAAGCACTCTAAGTTATAGTCCCGGAAGACTGTGAGGAGTGAACTGGTAAGCACTCTAAATTATAGTCCCGGAAGACTGTGAGGAGTGAACTGGTAAGCACTCCAAGTTATAGTCCCGGAAGACTGTGAGGAGTGAACTGGTAAGCACTCTAAGTTATAGTCCCGGAAGACTGTGAGGAGTGAACTGGTAAGCACTCCAAGTTATAGTCCTGGAAGACTGCGAGGAGTGAACTAGTAAGCACTCTAAGTTATAATCCTGGAAGACTGTGAGAAGTGAACTGGTAAGCACTCTAAGTTATAATCCCGGAAGACTATGAGGAGTGAACTGGTAAGCACTCTAAGTTATAATCCCGGAAGACTGTGAGGAGTGAACTGGTAAGCACTCTAAGTTATAATCCCGGAAGACTGTGAGGAGTGAACTGGTAAGCACTCTAAGTTATAATCCCGGAAGACTGTGAGGAGTGAACTGGTAAGCACTCTAAGTTATAATCCCGGAAGACTGTGAGGAGTGAACTGGTAAGCACTCTAAGTTATAATCCCGGAAGACTGTGAGGAGTGAACTGGTAAGCACTCTAAGTTATAGTCCCGGAAGACTGTGAGGAGTGAACTGGTAAGCACTCCAAGTTATAGTCCCGGAAGACTGCGAGGAGTGAACTGGTAAGCACTCTAAGTTATAATCCCGGAAGACTGCGAGGAGTGAACTGGTAAGCACTCCAAGTTATAGTCCCGGAAGACTGTGAGGAGTGAACTGGTAAGCACTCCAAATTATAGTCCCGGAAGACTGTGAGGAGTGAACTGGTAAGCACTCCAAATTATAGTCCCGGAAGCCGTTTTTACATAGATCACTGAAACAGTCCTCCAACTTCAAGACCCAAAGTCAGCGGTTTAAGGACTAAGCTTTCCTTTAGATTACAGGATTTAAAACATAAACCACAGGGCATATAATATCTCTAGCAGAGCTCAAGACACAATCAAACACATTGATATTAATGCAGCAAAATGTATGACATTTACATTAAGTGAAATAAATAAGGATTCTAAATAGTCTTATGATAGGTCTGCCAAATTAACCAAATTTATATCAACATATTTTTATAAATAAATAAATTTTTAAAAATTTGTTTATTCATTATGTATAGTATTCAGCCTGCATGTATGTATGCAAGCCAGAAGAGGGCACCAGATCTCATTATAGATGCTTCTGAGTCACCACGCGATTGCTGGAAATTGAACTCAGGACCTCTGGAAGAGTAGCTAGTATTCTTAACGTCTGAGCCATCTCTCCAGCCCTTACATAAATAGTTTTAATCTTTGAATTTGTGGATAATGAAAACTGTGGACATGAATTTACCCCAAAGGGTGGTTGGGAGGATTAAACAAAATACTGTAGATTAATATCCTAAAACAGTGCCTAGTATATAACAGGTAGTAGTATTCAGAATGTTAGGAATTAGGTTGTAGGGTAGCCGGGGTACAGAGGAGGAGCATGTTACCTGGTCATAGTCCTCAGGGCCAAAGGGTGCATCCTGCTGCAAAATGTGGTGCAGCCTTGCCTTGACGCGGTGCTGGCAGCTGCTCAGGGAGTCACTGTCGCTGTCCAGCAGCCCGTTCATGTTGGCGCTCTTCACCATTTGCACCAGAATGGGTGTCAGCTCCCCTTCTAGAGCCAGGAGGCCCTGGAAGGAAAGCACAGGTCTACTAGCTTCTCTTCCTGGTCGACATCCCAGACATGGGATGGGGAGAGAGCCTGAAGAGGCCGACTCCAACCGTTCCCAGCCCCTTTGGACACAGACGTCTCTGAATTAGCACAGTAGCTCTCGAACCCTTTCCATCGAGTCCTCCAAACTGTTTCTCTACCTAATGGAAGCGGAGGCAGTGGAAGAACGAGAGGGCTTACCTTCGCAAAGGCAGCAGCAGTCATCTGCACGCGACCCTCATCAGATGCGTAGATCTTGAGGTCATGACGGAAAGTGCTATGGAGACGAAGCAGCCCACAGCCAGGGAAGCCAGCATAGTCACCTGGAGCAAAGGGGAATGCCAGCACAGACTGTCACCCAGTCATGTGGGGGAACAATATTATCTGTCCCTTTAGTATCCTCACAGCATCTGCTCCTTCCTTCCCCTCTCCTCCCCTCCCCTCACTCTAATTATCTTATCCCAGCCATGCTGGGCACTCACTTTCTAACACTTACCCTGGCCTCCAGGGTACATGCAGCGAAAAGCTCGCCCCAGCTCCTCGGCCTGCACACGGCCATCAGGAGTCAGCTCTCCACCCCACTTCAGTACCAGCAGGAGAGAGGGAGCCAGGGCTTCTCTCTGTGTATCTGAGGGAAGAAGGTGTGTGGATGGGCATTTCCCAGGGACTATGATGGGAACACACAGACATTAGGCTTCCGACAAGAACAGAGGTAATAGAGGCAGGCGGATCTCTGTGAGTTCGAGGCCAGCTTGGTCTACAAGAGCTAGTTTCAGGACAGGTTCTAAAACTACAGTGAAACCCTGTCTTGAAAAACCAAAAAAAAAAAAAAAAAAAAAAAAAGAACAGAGGTAATTACAGGTAGAAACCATCTACAAGGTCGAGAATAAGAGATCTGAGAGCCGAGTATGGTGTCACATGCCTGGAAAACTAGCTCTTGGAAAATGGAGGCATGAGGATTGCTGGGAATTTGAAGTCAGCCTGGGTTACACAGCAAGACTGGGTCTTACAAAAGAGGCCAGTGAGATGGCTCAGCTGGTAAAGGCATCTGCCACCAAACCTAAGCACCCAAGGTCTACCCCCAGGACCAACATGATAGAAAGAGGGACCCAACCCCGACAGTTGTCCTCTGAGCTCCACAGTTGCTCTCTGGCACGTGTGCCCCACCCCCACTAAATAAGTAAATATAATTTTAAAAATTTGAAAGAAGAAAAGGAGGATGAGATACGGGAGAGGGCTGCTCACCTTGGCCCTCATTTGAAGCTTTCACTCCGTGGGGGTAGTAAGTCAGCTGCACCTTCCGATTAATACCCGAGAAGTGGCCATACCTGCAGGGAACAGCCATGCATCACGTTCTGCCCTGCACCTCAGTTCCTGTGAGGAGCTCCCTGCTGCTGTCCCCTTTCTCACATCTCCAGCACGGACTTCAGCTGCTCCAGCTTCCCGGTCTTCTCCTCGATCTCAATGCCTGGTTCTTTCTCCAGTTCGGCTAACAGGAGCCTCGTAATGTCCAGTACCTCCTAGAGAGACCACCGGGAACCATGTAGGCCTTCCTCCTGTCCATTTCACCTTCCTGTCCATCCCTTCTCAACCCCACACTCTTTCTTGTCAGACTAGGGCTCCTGCCCAGACCCACCACCTTACCTGGAGCTGCTCAGGTCGCTTAAGTTTTAACTTTCCTGTCTTGTATCCACCATGTTTTTCAAAGAGAGCAAAAAACCTTTAAAGAAGTAAAAAGTAAGAAAAGAAATCAGACCTCCTGGGAACTGTGCTCTGTCCCTCTCCCTACAAAGAACTATCCATCTAAATTAGGCCGTTCTTCCTACCTCGGGTGGGTCACTTCCATCTTCATCTTCTGCTTTGGAGTTCGATCTCCATGACGGATAATTGCGATGACACAGCGGAGCTCCATCCTAAGATGGGGAGTGTTCTCAGAGCCATTCTCCCACCCCAAACCTTCACCCCCCACCATCACACTCTACTGGAGAATCAGAAAACAAAGGGCGCTGAGATTAGACACGGTGCTGGAGTTACATATTTTCTTTTCAAGACAGGGTTTCTCTGTGTAGCTTTTGAAGCCTGTCCTAGAACTCACTCTACAGACCAGGCTGGCCTTGAACTCACAGAGATCCACCTGCCTCTGCCTCCCGAGTGCTAGGATTAAAGGCACGTGCTACCGCTGCCTAGCCCAGATTTTTAACATTTCCTTACATAGTGCCAGATGTGGTAGGGACGATGGGAATGTCCTCGGCTTCTGTGGGGATGGACCATGGGATCTGGAACTGTGGGGCAAGCTCCCGCATAATGGTGTTCCTGGGAGGCAAAACATAACAAAGTTGAAGGAAAAATAAACGAACAATTGTATGACAGAAGGTCATACACATATATGCAGTCATGCAGCAAAAGAAAGCATTAATATAAAGTTTGAAACGTCCAAACAAAACCCCATTAAAAAAAAAAAGTCCAGGGACGTGGCTCATTGCTAAAGGCCACAGAGCCTAACCATTTGGCAGAAACAAAAGCACGGCAGTGATAAACCAGTTAAAGTTAATGTTCCAGCCGGGCGGTGGTGGCGCACGCCTTTAATCCCAGCACTCGGGAGGCAGAGGCAGGCGGATCTCTGTGAGTTCGAGACCAGCCTGGTCTACAAGAGCTAGTTCCAGGACAGGCTCCAAAACCACAGAGAAACCCTGTCTCGAAAAACCAAAAAAAAATAAATAAATAAAGTTAATGTTCCCTTTGGGTGTGGGGAAAGAATTTAACCTCAGCACTATACGGGCATTTCAACTATATTCTTTTTCTTTTCTTTATTTTTGTTTTCAAACAGGACCTCACGTAGCCCAAGCTGGCCTCCTGCCACTAGGCTAGCCTTGAACTCTTGAGTCCCACCTCTCACAATCCCAGTGTTGAGATTACAGACATATACCACCAGGTTTAACTCATACATTCTTTTCCTTTTTTTAAATTTTATTTTGCTTTATGAGTGTTTAGGCTGCATGTATGTGCTCATGTTGTGTTCCTGGTGACCACAGAGGTCTGAAGAAGGTAATGATCCCCTAGAACTGGAATTACGGATGGTTGTGAACCCCATGTGGGTGCTAGGAACCTAAGTCAGGTCCTCTCCAAGAGCAACAGTGCTCTCAACTGCAGAGTCTTTTCTCTAGCCCTGCTTTAATTTTTCTAATACATGTGTGAAAAAAATTTTTTTTTCCCTGAGACAGAGTCTCACTATGTGGTGAGTACTAGGCTGGTACTCATTACATAGAGCAGACTGGCCTTGAATTCCAAGATTCTCGCGCTTCTGCCTCTCAAGTGCTAGTATTATAGATATGTGCTACCATGTCCATCTTGAATTTTCTTAATTAATTTACTAATTGATTAGTTTTGTGTATGTGATGTATATGTATAGGCATGTGTGTGTGATGTATATGTATGGGCATGGGTGTGTGTGTGTGTGTGTGATGTATATGTGTGGGCATGTGTGTGTGTGTGTTTGTGTGTGTGATGTATATGTATGGGCATGGGTGTCTGTGTTTGTGAGATGTGTGTGTGTGTGTGTGTGTGTGATGTATATGTGTGGGCATGTGTGTGTGTGTGTGTTTGTGTGTGTGATGTATATGTGTGGGCATGGGTGTCTGTGTTTGTGAGATGTGTGTGTGTGTGATGTATATGTATGGGCATGGTGTCTGTGTTTGTGAGATTTATGTGTGTGTGATGTATATGTGTGGATATGGTTGTGTGTGTGTGTTTGTGTGTGTGATGTATATGTGTCGGCGTGTGTGTGTGATGTATATGTGTCAGCATGTGTGTGTGTGTGTGATGTATATGTGTGGGCATGTGTGTGTGTATGTTTGTGTGTGTGATGTATATGTGTCGGCATGGGCATGTGGCAGTCAGAGGACAACTCTCAGTAGTCAGTTGTCTCCTTCAACTTTTACACGGGTTCCAGGGACTGTACTCAGGTCACCAGGTTTGCATAGCAAGCTCTTATACCATCTGAACCTTATATCCAGACAGAGTCTCACTCCTATAGCCCTGGCTGGTCTTAAACTCACAGAGACCTCATACCTCTCTCAAGCACCAGAATTAAAAGCATGGGCCATCACACCCAGTCTTCACATATTCTTAATAGCGTATTTTTTCTCATGTATCCCAGGCTGGCCTCAAACTCACTACATAGCAGATGGTCATTAGGTTCTATTTTGTATGTGTATGTGTGTAGGTAGATGGGGTTATATTCCTGCATACAGATGCATACACCAGCCTATGTGTGCCTGTGGAGGTCAGAGGTCACAGTCAGGCATCTTCCTTGACCACTCTCCACTGGTTGGTTGACCTGGAGCTCACCAGTCATTTAGACTGGCTGGACAGTGAGCCCTGAGGATTGCCTTGTTTCTGCCTCCTCATGCTGCGATTACAGGCTACTCGCGACTTGTGACCTGGGTGCTGGGATTCAGATCTGGGTCTTCACGCTTGTACAGTAAGCACTTCACTGACTAAGCCTGATTCCTTCTCAGCCCCCACACTGCCTTCGCCTCCCAAACGCTGGGTCTCCAGTCTGAGTCAACACTGCCATTATGAGGGGCTGGGGATTGAGCCCAGGGCTTCAGGCAAGCAATTCTACTACATCTCCAGCTTTCTTCAGACAGGGTCTTGTTTGTAGCAAAGACTTGCCTCAGACTTGAAACTCTCTTGCCTCCGTCTGTTGAACGTGGAATTATATGTGTATACCTTCATGCCTAGCCTTAATAATAGAATATTTTTGATTTTAATTTTTTGCTTTTGTTTGTTTTTTTTCAAGACAGGGTTTCTCTGTGTAGCTTTGGCTTTCCTGTAACTCACATATAGTGGCCTCAAATTCAGAGATCTACCTGCTTCTGCCTCCCAAGTCCTGGGATTAAAGGTGTGTGCCCCCAGCACTCTGTAGCTTAAAGTAGCCTCAAACTTGTGACAACCTTCCTACTGTGATTACAGATGTGAACTATCATAGCTAACATTTTGTTTGTTTGTTTGAGAAAGGGTCTCGCTACATAGCTCTGGCTGTCCTGGAAATCACTATGTAGTCCAGGTTGGCCTCAAACTCATGGAGATCCATCTGCCTCTGCCTCCTAAGTGCTTAAAAGTGTGTGCACCACCACACCCAGCCCAACACTTAATAATGTGGGTTTTTTTCGTTAATTATTGTGTGCATAAGTGTGCATGATGTGTTTGTGGGTACGTATGTTATGGCATGGGTGTGGAGGTTAGAAGACAAATCTGTGGAGCTGCTTCCCTCTTCCCACCTTTATGCAGGCTCCAGGGATCAAATTCCCATAGCTAGGCTTGTGCACACACATGCGCTCTACCCTCTGAGCCACCATGCCACTCTCAACAATGTACTTGTTTGAGATAGGCCTCTCACTGTGTAGCTCTGACTGGCCTGGAATTCACAGAGATCCGTTTGCCTCTGGCTCCTGAGTGCTGGGATTGAGGGTGTGGACCACCATATCTGGCCTGATGGTGTACTTCTTCAGACAGTGCTTGGCTAGAACTGCCATACTGTGGATGCTCACTATACCGTCATCCCTTATGTTTTTTTGAATGGCTTAGGTATTACACGCTATTTTGAACGCAAAATCCCAGTATTATCACAGTCAGTAAACTAAATATAGCTATTTACACATGGGAGAGAAAGGCAATCTGTCACAGCTAACACTGTTAATAGCAGTCATCTCTGAGGAATGCATTACGGAGACAGCAGGGGCCGAGTAGCTCCTTCTCCTTTTTCATTTTTGACTTTTGAATCGTTTTTAAAATAGTTAAAATAAAGCAAAAGCTTTATTGTTTGTTTGTTTATTTATCCATACAGCCTCATGTATCCCAGGATAGCATGAAACTGCTTCCACCTCCCAAGTGCCGGGTAAACAGGCACAGACATCACACCCGCTTTATAAAGAGAAAGCTCCTGAGCCCTCTTCCCCGTACCCTTGCCCACTATGTCTCTTACCCCAGAATCTTGGCACAATCATCATAATATTTCATCGAGTTCTTGACAAAGCTAAAGCCATTGACGTCACACACGAACGAGTGACCGTTGGCACGAAGAAGGTCAAATCCACAGACTGTTTGCTGCAAAAGCGAAAAGGCAGAGCGAATCAGCTCCCAAGCCCTGCCCATTTCTTCCCTTCACCCCACAGCCCCATGAGCCCTCTCTACCTTAAAAGCTACGCAGACTTTCCTGGCTACCAGCTTTTCCATGGCGGTCAGCATGACTGGATAGCGCACCTCTTTCCCCTCACTGTCCCGTTCAACCTTCCCATCCAAAGCTGGAGACTTTCTAGCTTCAGCATGAGCATAGTCGGGCCCCACTGTATACACCTGCGGGTACAGAGCACCACTGAGTATGCCCACAGCTCACCCTGTGTGTGAGAAGACAATATGAGCACTAGGTCTATAGACTCTTCCACAATAAAAACCAAACTCTGCCCAGTCAAGAGTGGTGGCACCCGCCTTCAGTCCCAGCACTCAGGAGGCAGAGGCAGGACTTCATCAGTTCAATGACAACCTGGTCTACACAGCAAGTCTTAAGTCAGCCAGAGCTACACAGTAAGAACCTGTCTTAAAACAAAGACAAGACCAAAAACTCCTCCAAACGTAAAGAATACAAAGACTGGGTCAGGAAACAGTTCGGCAGGTAAAGATGCTGGCTGACAAGTCTGGTCTCCAGGATTCATATGGATGAAGGAGAGAAGTGACTCCCCCAAGTTGACCTCTGACTCCACATGCATGCGATGGTGCACACACACACACACAAATGTAATAAGACGATTTTTAAAAAAAGAATACAGAGACTGAGACTGATATTTTTGAGCCTTATTCCAATGATCTTCCAAAGGTTTCTCCATAGGACTCTAGCACTACTTTCTAGTCCTTATTAAACAATAATTTACCAATGTCTCACAATTCACTATGGCACCTTGCTCTCGCTCTGATAGGGAAATGAGAATGTCTGCATCTCACTTGCTATAGCCACTTGAATGTGAAGCCAGCTGAAATCGCATTTTGTTTTCTAAGATCCATACACACTGCCACTTGCCTCCCAAGCACCTCATCCCCACCCGGATGTTTGTAACATTTTAAATCTCTGTATCCACCATAACCTTAACATCTGTGCCATCTGTTGGCATAAACTCCTCATAGATGTATGATCCTGTCTTCCGGACACTGCTCTCAGGAGAGTAAACACTGCTCCGACTGCCGATCTTGAGGAGGAAAGAAAAGGAAAACAACATTGCCTCCATCTCCATGCTTTACCCTCAGATCCCTTCTCTCTTCCCAACAGCCTCACTCCGTCCTTTACTCCCTGACTTCCCAGATGCTCAGATGTCTCCCATACCTTACGAAAGAGGCGCTGGCTTCCTCCTCCAGCAGAGCTGGGGTAGTAGATATAGACATTATGGTCCTCTGCACTCACTGGCTTCTCCACAAAGGGCTTGGGAAAGACAGCTCCATTGACCTCCACCTGGTCTTCACCTTCTATCAGGCTGCACTCTGAAAGATGGGCGTGGGATCGTTCTTAGGAACTAAGGTTGGAGAGTATCTCCAACTCCTGTTTCCCTGAGGTTTTAATCTATACAACCTTTCACATTTTATGACCACGTCCTATAACAGATACGGCAATGCTTATATATGGCATTTAGATATGATAATATCTATATAAAAGTTCAACGGCTCTGTCTAAAGACCCACAACTCTACCTATAATCCAACTGTCAAAGGCCCATACAGATATATCTAGAACAGAAGTTTAAGGAACAAATACCGGGCTAAAATCATGGAAATCAAGGCAGTTACTCACCCTCAGGACAGGCGGGATCACGGTTGAGCACGGCATATCTTGGCAGATCAATACCCTCCTCCTGCAGGATCCGGTACACCTCCCTCCTGTCACCCCCCCCCCAAATAAATTAGCCAGGTAGGAAAGGTGGGGATGACAAAGGGAAAAGGCTAGACATTTTATTTGCACAGGGAACTATAACTCAATATGAAATGGGACAAAAAATGAAGCATGTTTGCTTCACTGTGCCACCCCAGAGTAGGCTTCCTAAAGTGGGCATTTCAGGGCCACCCACCCCTCTGGTCCACAGGAAGCTATACCTATCTTGGATGTAATACTGCATGGCCAGATCATTGATAAGGAAGGGGTTTCGAAGCTTGGAGTAAGCAACAGCTTTGTCCAGAGGAAAGCCTGCGAGGGAGAAAGAAATGGAGAGACCAAAGAAAGTCAAAGAGGCAGAGTGAGAAGCAGCAGGACAGGCTGTGACCTGCTAGAGACAGCGGCTGCCACTGAGCTCCTCGGACACATCTAACCAAGCACTTATCTGCCCAGTTCCTCAAGTCCGGGATAGTCATCAGGAAAATAAACACAATTACATGTAGGATCCTCCCAGAGATCCAAGTCTATAAGAGAAAGTAAGTGCCTTCACATCATCTTGTGTGGCTGGGATATAGGCTTTAACCTCCGCCTAGCAAATCCTGAAACAGAAGGTAAACTCCCCTTCAATGTTCCCTTGTGTGTGGAGACGCTGACAGCCTCTTACTAAAGGGATAAGAATTCCATCCCCAAACCAGCACCCCACGGCCGGCCTTCCCTCCCAGACCCTAACCTTTGGAGTGGAAAGAAATGAGACAGTGGCAGGACGGCCAGTTCTCCACGGGCTCGTTGAGGATGACATCTTCTCCCAGGATGACGACAGTCAGGTAGTCAAACCTGCAGAGTCGTTCTAGGATTTGAGTCATCGGCTTGGACTTGGATTTCTTGGTCATGGCACAGATGCCAACAATAATCTGAGGTTCTGGAGGCTACAGAAAAGAAGTGCTCTCAGGAACTCCAGGTTCCCACATCTGTCACCTCCAACACTGCCACATCTTTCTCAAGCCTGAGGGATAAAGGACGCCCACTAGAGAAGAAGCCCATAGGAAATGTGCTTCTTCAAAAGCAGCAGCGGTGACCAGAAGACAACAGGAGGAGGACGTTTGAGCAGGGGTTTCAGAGAGAGGCAACTGACCAATCTCTATGGCCCCTCCCCTAGTCAGGATAGAGCCTGTTTACAACAGGGAGTCTGTGCCTGCAAAGAACCGTTGTGTCCAAGCAGTGCAGTATCAGTTCTCTAGGGCAGGGGCCCACTAAGCTACATCGCTTTCCCTAGACTTACCACTTCATCCTCCTCGTCCTCAAGGAGCTCACTGTCACACTCTTCCATCCTCATGCCTATTCCACAGGTGCCCAAGCCCTCATCTCCAGCTCCGAGGAAGAAGTGGGCCGCACTGCTCTCGTCCTCATTGGCCGTCAATGACCACATCCCCGCCGGAACACCCACTCATCCCGCTCTGCAGAAGTGAGTACCCCATCAGCTTAGAATCCGCCCTTACAGTGGGAAGGGATGGGGTACAGGGAACTAGACAATGAGAGGGAGCAATGATGGGGTACAAGAGGAACAGGAAAGAAAGCGATGGAAAGGACCCAGAAGAAAGGAAACTGCACTACGATTTGACATGACTAAAGAGTAGTAAGAGCAAAGCAAGGACTCCTTTTCTTCCCTGTTTACCCCACCCCAGCCAAGAACTGGGAAGAGGATCAGGAGATGAAGCCTTACAGTGCTGGCATGTCCCTGATTCTGCCAGCAGGAAACAATGTTAACTCCAGGCAGCAAATAGAAGAAGCAGTTCTCCAAGGAAGGCTACTGTTGATTCCTACCAAGAGAAGGTTAGAGTGACATTTATTTCAAACACTGGATTCATTCCACAATGTTCCCAGTTCTCTCCACCTCCCTACAGTACCTCCCCAAGCACAGTCAAGGATTCGACTCAAGGGCAAAGGGATGCTCTGACCCCAAAGATCTGCCTTTAAACTCCACCCTCATTACTACCTGCTATTAGCTCAAGAAACATTTCTCCAGGACACCCTCCACGCTAAGCACTGTCTCGGGACACTAACATCTCCTGTGCTTGCCCTTTCTCCTTCACCCACATCATCTGAAAAAACCAGAGAATCAGTCCAAGCAGGGAAGTCTGGTGCTGACTGAGAGGCTGAGAGTAAACACTCACACAGCAGTTCTCAATCCGTTCAAACTACAATCTCCGTGGTCCATCCAGTCCTTTAGTACTCCAAGACCAACGCTGGCCTAAGACAAGGTCTGTTAGAGTAGCAGCTACATTGGAAAAAACGTCCTAAGGCCACACTGATAAGAACATCTTATGAACTTGGATCAGAACAAGCTGGCAGTTCCACTCTACGTGCATATGCCTCGAGTGTTAATGGAAACTCCAGAGAGAATCCGTCAGGCAACATTCCTGGTTACTAGAACCGCAAAGTGCCACACTGGTTTCTAGTAAGCAGACGGCAGGAATGCCACAAGAAATTCTAAAATGTATATGCTAGCTCAACATCTACCCAGCCCAAACTGTTAGCAGCACAGAGGTGGTTAGGCTGTGGTAAGACTCCCCTACCCACGTGGACACACCCAAGGACATTCTTCCCTTCTCTACCTCATTGTTGCCTAGGGGGAAAACTAAGAACAATCCAGATGCCATAAGGAGAAGAATGGTAGACTCTGATGCAGTATACAGAAAAAAAAAACAACCCAGATTTTAAAAATGAATGAGGGCCAGCAAGACGGATCAGATGGTGGTACTTGCTGCCAAGCCTAACAATCTTAGTTTGAACCCTAGGAGCTACCTGATGGGAATGGGGGTTGGTGGGGGGAGACACTGACTTCCACAGGTTGTCCTCTGACCTCCACATGTGTGCTATGGATCCACAAACATACACACTATACATGTAAGCTATATGCAACAGTTTCCTAGTACAAATGCCCAAGATAAACATGGAGCACAACCATTTGCGTAAATAAACACATCCTGCTATTCACGACTGCAGATGCAGTTAGTACAGGCTCGTGGTTGGTTTGTTATTGTTGCTGATTGCCAGCATTTCTTTGATATGTATGGGTGTTCTACCTGCAGGTGTCTCTGTACACATTCGTGCTGGGAATGGAACCCGGGTCCCCTGAAAGAACAACCAGGGATCTTAATCACTAAGCCATCTTTCCAGCCCCCACTTAGTAGCCATTTAAAAGATTGAATCTGGGTGTGGTGGTGCAAGACTTCAGGACCTGAACTTGGGAGGCAGAAGCAGGGAGATCTCTGTGAGTTCAGGGCTGTCCTGGTCTACATTGTGAGTTCCAGGCCAGCCAGAACCACAGTGAGACCTGCCCCCAAAACGAAACAAAATATGTAATTTTTAAAATGGCATAATTTTAAAAATGGACTGAAAAGACATCAAATCTGTAACAGTAGTTACATTTGAAGAGAAGCGACAATGGCGGTGAGTTTCCCGCGATACCTATACAATCTTGCCTATAAATAAATGTCTATTTTCAAAACTCCAAAAGATCGGAAGCTTATACACACAAGGCTAGCATTTGCTAATAATGAATTGTAAGGGTATGAGCAACTATTATTATTTTCCAAAAATAAAATGGAGTCACTCAACAGAAATTTTCCATGTTCCATAGAAGTTCTCAGAAACACTGCCAGCCCCAATGAAGCCAAGAACTCCTTTTGCGAATTAGTTAACGTACAGCTTTTTAAAGGCTTCCATAATTCCTCTCTCCATTTTAATTTTAAAATCTGCCATTACAACGAGGGTTGCAGCTTTGATTAGAAAATTATAGATTTCTATAAACCTTGGCCATCTCGGCCTCCCCATCTCATGCTTCTATTGCTCAACCACAGACAGAACAGGCCGTCTGCAGACACCACCCTCCTGACTGACAGACCGTCTCTCTGAATTCCCTGTAAGTGACCTAACCGTGGCATTCCCAAAGATACCTCACAACTTCCCCAATTAGAATTTCATCATTTCTTTGTGCCTTTTCTGAACCGGGAGCTCTCCCTACGTCTAAGATTCCTTCTCTACTTGCCCTTTAAGTCTTCCCTGTTTGTTTGGGTTTTTTATTTGTTTGTTTGTATGTTTGTTTTTAAACAATATCCAGCCACGCTCGTGGAATTCTACTAGAACCCTGTGATGGGAGACAATAGGATGGAGAAGTCTGTTCACAAACACAGACTGAAAGAAGATGAAGGTCCAAATTCATAGTTAACAAAGCAAACATAGAAGCCTGGCAGGAATAGCTATGACAAAGCCAGGCTTTATTTGGATGTACTTCTGGGAGAGGCTGGGGTTTTAATGTGGTGTTCCCAAAAAAACACTTTCCTGTTTGATGTGCTCTTTCCCCCTTCATGTTCTCCCCAAACTTCGTTGCATAAGAAAGCGACAGAGTCTACACCAGGCTAAAGGGCAGTCTTGCTTTGGAAGGGAGGGAAGGGGTTGGAGGAAACAAGAAGGCAATCTAAGGAGCACCAACGCTAAATTAGATCTGGAGAGGGCTAGGGCGACAGCGAACCGTAACTTCTTCAGCTCCTAGAGTGGAGGGCAGTCTGCGTGAATCTCTAATTTCTTGGCATCACCTTGCATTTGATAGAGGCTCCAACAATAGTACAAGGAAACCAACACAGAAACTACTCACTCCACCACCAATACGGAATTTTCTCACCTTCAAAAGTGAAGTTCCGTCCCACGCCTCCCTGCCTACTCTTCCCCCGTTGTTTGGAGGCAGTGTCTCACTCTGTAGCTCAGGCTGGCCTCAAACTCAGGGCGATCGTCCTCCCTCAGTCTCCCAAATGTTGGGATCACTAGCGTGGGCCTCTCTGCCTGCTTCCCACTTCCTTCCGCAGGCGAGTTGAATGTTTCTGACATATTCCTTATTCTGACACCAGTCTTCCATCTGCTGCCGGAGGCCGTTCTCAGTGTAGCTCACTCATCCCGCCTTCTCTCCCCCAATCTGTGATAATGGCTCTTCACTGACTCCCCTAACCTTACTCTCCACACTGACTGCTACACCCCAATCACTGTTCAATTAATGCAATGAATCCAGCCAATTCTCCCACTCAGGGACTCCCAGAAGTAAACAACACTTCAAACCTGCACATGAGTCATCACACTGGCTAACACTTTTTTTTTTTTGAGACAGGCTCTACGTAGCACAGGATAGCCTTGAACTTAGAATCCTCCTGCCTCAGCCTCCAGGGTACACTGGGTAGCATCATTCTCTTAACGATGAACACTTAATGGCCCCCTACAGCGAGGATCCCCTATAACGAGAGCTCCCTTCCTCCGACTAGCCCTTCTGGAGGCTCACCTCTCCACAGTAATCCATTCCTCAGCAGACCTTCTCCCCTGGCCAGCCAGTCCCTTCCCTCACTCCGCCAGCTTCCAGCGCCCGCTGGTCCTCCCTTCCCTCGGCTTCTCGCGCACGACCCTTTACCTCGGTCCCCTCCCCTGCGATCCAGCCCTGCCCCTCCTCCCAGACTCCCCCAGCCCTGTCCCTGAAAGCCTTCCATCTTCCCGAGGGTCCCCTTATGCCTCCTGCAGACCCCTCCACACCAGTCTCTTCTCCCACTGACCCGCTCGGTCGTCCTCTCTCTCTCAAGGCGTCGGGTCACGAATCCCGCCCTCCCATCCTGACCGCACTCGCCTCTGCCCGCCCCCGCCGTCCCCGCCTCGCTCTCCCTAGGCTGACATTGAGGCCTCCCGGCTGCGCCTCCCTCCGAAGCTGTCCCCACCCGGGACAACCCACGGCCTCGGGCGCAGGCCGAGCCCCTCGCCGAGCCCACCCTCCCCGATACCGCCCCCAGCCCCAGCCACTCCCCCACCGCCCCCGGCCCGCACTCACCCGCCTCCCTCCGCTCGCGCAGCCGAACCTGCAGGCAGCGACACCTGACAGCGGCCCAATCAAAGCGCGACTTCTTTGCGGTCCCGCCAATCCGCGGAGGGCGCGCACCGGCAACAGTCAGGCTGCGTTGGCCGGAGCTTCAGAGTGGAGGAGGGTGGCTCCTCGTGGCTGCCTGGGGAAATGCAGCCTTATGCTCCTCTGCCTCTTTATTTCCTACTGCGTCGCCAGTCCACAACCTAGACAGAGAGATTAACCATTGACACCAATGGGAGGAAAAAAGACTGAGATGAATGAAGAAGAGGCAAAGTTTGTGACATTGCACCTCCATGAGGGCAAAAACCGAGTCTTTTTTTTCTGTAAAGCAAATCCAGGTGTACTATAGGTAGACATAAGGCGAGAAGGTGAAAAGAGAAAAGGTAGGGACACTGGAGACAAACAGAAACAGATGGGAAAAGTTAAGGGGAGGAACAAAGAGACTGATCTGTGAAAGATGTAAGTAAATGGTAGACATGAGAAACCGAGTAAACCGCTTTCTGTCTCTACACTCTGCTTCTTCTCTATTCTCCAGCCTTGGAATCTGAACAGCTGGGTTTGAATCCTACTCTTAACTGTGTAGCTTTGGCGCATGCCTTTAATTCCAGCACTAGGGAGGCAGAGGCAGGCGGATCTCTGTGAGTTTGAGGCCTGCATGGTCTACAGAGCTAGTTCAGGACAGTCAGGGCAGTTTCACAGAGAAACCCTGTCTCGAAAAACAAAAACAGGGGCTGAGAGGCTGCCTGCTCTTCCAGAAGACCCGGGTTCAATTCCCAGCACCCACATGGCAGCTCACAACTGTCTGAAGATCTAGTTGCAGGGGATCTGACATCTTCACACCAATGCATATAAAATAAAGTTACATAGGAAAAAAAAAAACAAACACAGACAAAAATAACTAGCTTTGGGAAATTCGCTTTTCTTCCTGGAGCCTCCACCGTGTTTATTTGTTTTTGTTTTTGTTTTTTTGGTTTTTCAAGACAGGGTTTCTCTGTGGCTTTGGAGCCTGTCCTGGAACTAGCTCTGTAGACCAGGCTGGTCTCGAACTCACAGGGATCCACCTGCCTCTGCCTCCCAGGTGCTGGGATTAAAGGCGTGTGCCACCATCGCCTGGCCACCGTGCTTATTTGTAAGGGTGGAACTAAACACCTACAAGTACTGCTCCTTGTGACAGTCCGTGGGGAAAGAGATTTGTTTTGACTCAGGGTTTCAGAAATTTTGATCCTTAGCACCATTGCTTTGGCCATGAGAGAGGCAGAACTTAAGGGTGGTTTGGTAAAAGGCATTTGCTTGTTAGCTAATAGAAAGCAGAGAGGGAGGAAGGGGCAGAGGACAAGATGTGTTGTCCGAGGCATGCCACAGGGACAAACTCTCTCCAACTAGGCCCTACATCCTCCCTTTTACCATGTTCCAATAATGTCATCACATTATGAATCTATCAAGGGATAAATGTATTGATTAGACCAGAGCCCTCAGAATACAATCACTTCCCAAATGTCCATCAGCTGAAAAACAAGTTCCAACACATGCGCCCATAAAGGACATTTCTTGTCTGAACGGGACAGATACGATCATAGGAAAGCATGTTCTTCTATGTATATTGTTGTTCTTAAATCTTCATTTAGGCTTCCCTGGTCAGGAGTTTGAAATTCTCCATTTGTTCTCTGTAACCTTAGGGACCTCACAACTTTCCTAGTTATATGCCTTAACTTACTGACCCCCACCCCCAAGGCCTGCTGAGTGGCTAGAGATGATTCTAAGGACAGTGATAGTTAATGTTCAGACTCATACCTCTTCTGCAACTCCAACCATTGGAGCAAGTAATTACAGCATCTCCCAAGTGTAAAAATTCACCGATTCCCCAGAAAATACTCGTATGTTAGAATGATCTAATTCTCAATGAAATAACTTACACTTATAAAGGTTCTTTGTAAGTGTAGGGTTTTGTGGGGTTGTTTTTTGTTTTGTTTTGTTTTTGTTTGCTTGTTTGAGATATAATTTTATTGTGTAGCCTTGGATGTCCTGGAACTCATTCTGTAGACCAAGTTAGCTTTGAACTCACAGAGATCTGCCTGGCTCTGCCTTCTGAGTGCTGGAATTAAAGGCGTGTGCCACTGCCACCTCTCAGTTTCCTTGTAATTGTATAGTGCTTTAAAGCAATAAATATTAGTAATGATAATTTTTTTTAGTAATGATAACTATTAACAAATAAATAAACTACTATATATATAGAGAGAGATAACTACTTCCCATATGCAAGAGAACTTTTTTTGCATGTGTGTGGGTGTTTTTTGGGTTTTGTTTTGTTTTTTAGTTTCTTTGGTTTTTCAAGGCAGAATTTCTCTGTGTAGCTTTGGAGCCTGTCCTGGAATTCACTCTGTAGACCAGGTTGGCCTCAAACTCACAGAGATCTGCCTGCCTCTGCCTCCTGAGTGCTGGGATTAAAGGTGTATGCCCCCACCACCTGTCTTGTGTAGGTGATGTTCTCTTCTGTTCTCTGGGCACCAGGTACACAAACATGCAGGCAAAACGGATCCCTTGGAACTGAAGTTATAGACAGTTGCCCGTCACCATGTGGTTGCCCGGAACTGAACTCAAGTCCTCTGAAAGTGCCGCCACTGAGCCATCTCTCCAGTTCCAGGAGGTAATTTTTTTTAAATGATTGACATTAGATACCTGACAGGGTCTCACAAAGAATAAGGAAAGTACACAATATATGACTTCTCAGCGTAGCTATTATTTCATGAAGGAAGGCATTTTCCGAACTTGAATAACTTGCTGTCTACTCTAGCTGTCTTTGTTCCACTTCTGCTAGTCTCTCTTCCCACCCCTGACAACGTATTCTCCCCCACTTCCAACACTTTCTCAGCCAAATAACAGCCCCATCGCTCTGGAAGATTACCTCCTTCTTTTATCTGGGTAAATACACACCGTCCAAGTAATTATATTTACTTACTCATACCTGCCCCTCTACCTAGATAATGAGCACCCACGGCAGAGGTAACATTTTTTGACTCTCCAAAAGTGAGCAAGCCCCAACACTAGATTCCAAACTATTCTCTGAAAATTGTATTTTATCAAGAGAAGTGGTTCAAGGAATGGAGCCCCCAAAAAGAAGTGTTTCGCTTCTAAGGATACCCATAAATAATCAAAGTCAAAAGGAGACATGGTGGGGGGGGACCTTGAGGGTAATAAGGAAATGTGTATTTGTGGGGCCAGTGGGGACTGTGAAGGGTAATTCTGAAAGACCCCCGGTGTGGGGAGACTCTCACTCAAGTCTCGGGATAACACGCCCCCCCTCCGCCCCCCCCCCGTAACTCACTAGAGACCGTCCTTGATGCAATCATACGAGGTTTAATCGACAAGATGGGAACCAGGGCACTGGGGCTGAGACTCATAAACCCATGCAGGGGAGGAGTTCGACCCCAAGTAACTGGGAGTGGGGGTTTTTTAAGGAAGAAACCACAGCCCAGTAATCTGAAAGGGGTAGGGAGGGTATCACAGAAAATTCTGAGTGCCAGTGATGATCACAAGGGGGCAACTCCCTGTTTCTCAAGATTATACTCAAGATTACAATCTAACTTTATCTTCAGCTAGTTCCTGAAACTGAAGCAGCTAATCCTAGATTTCTGATTCTTTTCTCCCAGCTTAGATTTTTGACTCTATTTTTTCTTGCTAGGAGGGTCTGGATTTATCCAGGTCTTTCAATTCTTTTTTCCAAAGATTTATAAGATTTCCAAATATCAAGCAGGGCGGTGGTGGCGCACAACTTTAATCCCAGCACTTGGGAGGCAGAGGCAGGAGGATCTCTGTGAGTTAGAGGCCAGTCTGCTCTACAGAGCTAGGTCAAGGACAGGCTTGATAGCTACAGCGAAACCCTATCTCAGAAAAAAACAAAAGAAAAAGAAAAGAAAAAGAAAAAAAGATTCCCAAATATCTTACTGTCTTTTGGAACATCAGAAAGCTTAAGGAAGATATACTAATGCCAATATGTCTGCTCTGCCTTGGCTGGCCCTCCACACCAAGGCTTGGGTCCCTATCTCAGCTCCGGATTTTATTCCCCTTCCTGATATAATAAAAGTCAAGTTGCACCTAGTCCCACGTCTAGTGTGGAAACAATCCTTTTGAGTCTGAACATGCACTTCACAGGAGAGGGGACCAGGAAAAAGGCACAGATTTCTTGATGACCTTCTGCCCTTGGATGCCACCAACCTTTTCTCTCCAGATTAAACTGTGTTGAAAGCCAAGAGAGGAAATCCTAGTGGTTCAGGAGACCTGTGCCTGCCTGTTCCATTCCACACCCAATCATCTCACCACACCCTCCTCCTTCTCTCTTTATATTCCCCTCCAGTTCAGGATCTGCCAGCTGCAGAGGAGGGAGAGAA